GCCCGGCGGTGTTGCGGCGCCGGGCGGCGGGAGTGGGTGCCGCCGGCGGGGCGGGACAGCGGGATCGTGGCTTACAACAGCCGGAGCCGGAGCAAGGAGCCGCTCGTACTGGCCACGGGAGGAGTGGCGACCTGGTAGCGGTGGGGGTTTGGGGACGGGACGGAGGGGGCCGGGCCCGCCGGGCGGGCTGGGGGTGACGGGTGCGGTTTGCCTCCCCTCTCCGCAGGTACAGCTGCGGGCCGACGGTGTACGACCGGGCGCACCTCGGGCACGCCAGGTGAGTCGCGTCCCGAATCGCTGGAGGGGGGGGGGGAGCCCCGTCCTGCGTGGGCACGGCGCGGGTGGGAGCGCGGGGCGTCCGCCGTAGCGGGGAGCCCGGGCCCGGGCGACGGAGCCCGCCGGGTCCGCGCAAAGGGCAAAATCCGACCTGGGATAGCTGTCATTTGTCGGCCCCGGGACAGCTCGTCCCAGGCAGAGGCAAAACAGCCGGGTGGAAGGCATTAAGAATGCGCAGGTTTGGGTTTTGGGGTTTTGTTTTTGCTGGGCAGGGTGAGTTGTTTCAAATCGTACCGGCATAACGTGGGCTCTTGTGCAGGGGAGTTGGGGTCCTGGAGCAGAGCCTCTTGTCCGTGTGAAATTACAGATTTGCCCCGAATTTAGTTCGGGCGCTCTGTTGGCACCAAGGAAAAGCCGTTCAGGGGTGACTATTAAAAAGTTGCTTTTGAGGTTAACAGCATCTGCTCTTAAATCGCGGAAAGCCCAGGTGGTTTAAATGCCTTTTTGCAGACTAACAGTTCTGTGGCTTACTGTGTTTAAAAAAAAACACAAAACAAACAAAACCAACTCAAAACAGCACAGTGTTTTCTCCATGGGTCATTAGGATAATTACAGTAATAAACCAGCTTCATTATAAGTAACTTTTTCAAAAAGTACTGTAAATACACCAGCGAAGGTTGCTGCCAGGTGTTTTAAAGCAGTGTGCCTGATGAGGAGAGAGGCAGGGTGCCTGCGGCTCCCTGAGAAGCTGAGGGGAATTGCTGCAGCTGAGCTGCTCTTGAGCTCCTGTCTCCTAATTCTTAAAAGAACAAGATGCATCGGGTTCCTTGGAAGAGTAGGAGTTTCTCAGATAATTGCCATCCGTATGAAGATCAGATGCTGTGTATTTGAGTAATTCCCTTTTAATGTAGGGCATTTCACAGCTTCTGGTCCCGTCTCAAGTTCATTCAGAAACTTGTGTTGAATCTTGCTCAGTGTTGAGCTATTGCAGTACTGCGCAACTGCTCCTTCGTTCTCTAAAAGGGAAGTTTTAAAAAACAAACCGTGTAAAAATACTGTTGGCAACATCTCTTTAAATGCTGCTGTACTGTTGCGTGTATGTGGTGGTGTCTTTTTTTCTCCTTGCTTTTTTCCAGTCTTAGTGGAAAACTAACCTGGCTTTTTACTGGTGTTCTAAAAATCAAGTAAATGATATCTTGAATTATTTTGTTTGTACTTAGTACCTTCAGGGGAACTTAAAAAAAAAAATTCATAGCAATTCGTGTATTTAAATCTACAGTTACTGTAATACAGGCTAAGTTCCAGAAATAATTACAATTTAAAATTGTCACTTGAGAGCAACTGTATAAAAAGAATAACAAATTTATTAGCATCATCACTCAGCTGAGGTTCGCTGGTATGGTAGGGCCCGTCTTCCCTGATGTAATGTAAGAGGGGAGGAAATTGCAGAAGTGCCCCTGTCCTAAGGGGTATAGTGGATCTAAAGCACAATGTTTACAGAGGTAGAGAATGTCACCTTTTGGTCTTGCAGCTCTCTGTGGCTTTTGAATGTCTGTTTTTGTCAGTGGTTCTCCTTGTTTTCCTGCCTTCGGGCTCTTTTGATTGCAGGAGGGAGTAGGAAGGCCTTGCTTGCTCTGTCTGTTCTCTTACCCATATCTTCGTATCCTATGTCTGAAATAACTAACAATTCCAAGCTTGCTTGGTGTGGAGGCTTTGCCACACGTCTGTGCCACCTGGGTTTGACTGCTTGCTGATTTAAGAAAGAATAGTTAGGGCTGAATATGGCCTTTGGAGCGGTGTATCAGATAAGTAGCTGTGTTACACTCTCTGCTGCCTCTTCAGCACATTCACGCGTTGTTTCCTGTAGTGCTGTTGTGCGGCAAGATTCCTGTGCCGAAGACCTTTCTCTCTCTTTTCTGATCAGTTAAAACCCTCCAGTGTGTGAGGAGTTGGCTGTTCCTTCCCAGTGTCTGTGGTCTTGCACGCGTTGGTGTTGACATCCTGTTGCTCAGCTGATTTGTTCAGGATGGTGGAGCACTCTTGATTTTATATTTTTTTTTAAAATTGTATATTTTTTCCCAGCAGCTATGTCCCAACTGTAGGTTGGTAGGCACAGCTGAAATGCATGCTGCTGATGGGGGTCTACAGGCCAGGATATGCACTGAGCAAGAGCATGAAGTCAAATGGAGCAATGGCTGTCGCCACTGTGCCCTTTCTTGTAGAATACCATCGTTTTGTTCTACTCTTGCAACGTCATATCTTATCACTAGAATTCCTTTTTTCCCTCCTCCTTACGTTTTGACTTGTGGTGAGCACAACAAACGTGGCAGGTAATAATGCAGAAACGAATAAATGGAGATGAGCTTGAGATCCTTGAGAAGAATTTGCAAATAGTGGCATTATTATTTTTCTCCCCTCTTCCTTCCCCTCCACAAGGATTTCTTACTTCTCTAAATAATCCAACTTTCTCTAGTATGTTGTGCTTCCTGTCTTCAAAACAGGTGCTCTGTTTTGAGCCTCAGGCCTCAATACAACATCCAAACCTCATTTGATATAAAGAAAAAAAAATCAGGTGCGCAGATAATGCTATCTTTTCCCTCAGTTCCAGGACTGGCCTTGATTGTGCTCGTGTGAGCGGGAGCCTGGATGGTATCCAGGTTCCTGGCTGAATGCTTGGAAATAAGAGTAAGATCAAGCATGAGAGGAGATTTCATTCAGTCCCTTGTGCCTGCTCTGTCACCCCCCTGATTTTGACTTTTTTTTTTTTTCTCTTCAATCCTGAAGTGGTAAGGACCCTGCTTTCTGAGGTGTCAGGAGATCTGCTCTGGCTCTTGCAGTGTTTCTTCCATCAATTCAGTTGGAAGAGCAGAGGAGAGGGAGCAGTGCAAAATTTGTGCCTGCTACAAACTACGACTGCAGGGCTGTTAAATCTAATATGAAGCTTTTGAGGCTGGCTTTGTTCATCTGAATATGGTCCAAAGACCAATTTAATATTCTTATGGAATCGTGTCACCACATTAGACAAACCTTACTCCCAGTGAGCTGGTATTCCTCGCTTCACTTTGAGAGTCTCCTGGCTCACATGTAGCTTCCAATGTGCTTTGGTGCTTGAATAAAGAGATGCAACAAAAGAAAACACTCAGAAAATTTGATGTAATGTGTCACTAATGCCAGAAGAGGGTAGACCAGTTCAAGGGAAATTTGCTTGACTTTTGTGCAGGTGGTAACTGGTTTTGGAAAAGCACTTTATGCACTTAAGACCTTCTTATTGGAAGTGTTGGGCTATTTAGATTGTCCGGGTGGCTGTTAGTGCTGTTGGTTTTTTTTCTTTAAGCTTATTCTTACTACTGCATGTTTAAAAGCTCATGTTTTTTCTCTTCCAGCTCCTATGTTAGGTTTGATATAATTCGAAGGATAATGACTAGGTTTTTTGGAATTGAAGTTATCATGGTGATGGGGATCACAGACATAGATGACAAGATAATAAAAAGAGCCAATGAGGTAGGTGTTTGCTGCAGGCTTTGATCCAAACTTTTGGTATTTTGTACAGCTACTTACATAGGAAAATTAACCTGGGTTTGGTGTTTTTTTTGTTGAGTTTTGTTTGTTTTAATTAGTAGGTAATAAATGTTGAGATTTCTGGTCCCCTAGCGTGGCTGTAATGGGGCTGGGAGCCCGGAGGGCTGGCCGTCGAGAGCTGCGTGGAGGTAAATGGGTGCAGAGTTGGGTGAGGGGGAGAGGCGGGGGGGTTACAGCACCCATGGCCAGCGTCCTCCTGCCCTCGCCCCCTGCCTGGGAGGCCAGCGGGGAACAAGAAGCCGGGGTGAATCTGCAGCAGAGTGAAGGGTATCTTATCCCAAAAGCAACCCAAAACTTAGCAGAGCCAGGAGGCTTCTGGCTGAGTTGTGGAGAAGCGTCGTGTGCCGTCGATCGTTAAAGACAGTATATGTGGCATTGCCACGCGCGAGGCTGAGGGCGATTCCTGAAAGGTGCCGAGCACCATCTAGCTGCAATGTCAGCGCCTTGGAAAGCTTTATTGGTCTTGTCTGATTTCGTCACCTACATGAAAGTTGACATTGAGTGTAGGGGTAATTCCTGATAAGACGGGGGCTGTAAGTGGTTCTCAGTTGGATTTTAATCAGACCTTTTTTATCAGCTGAGTTTGGTGAATGATTATTCCCGTTTGTTTTTGTGTTGTGGTTTGTTTTTGTTTTTTTTTAAAAAAAAAGGTTTTTTGGACCCTGAAATGCTAAGAATGTATTCTGTGTTTTATTCTGCGTTTTGAATTTTTTGTTTTGTTTTAAGAATCTGTAACTTGTGTCTTCTGGATCATAAATGAATGTGTTGGATCAAATTGCAGTTGGGAGCTTTAAGCTAGTTTCTTGGAGCCAGAGAATTTGACAGCTGTCACTTTTATTTAATCTTTAAGTAAACAGTTACTATTGCAGTTAAATATAGGGCGGCACTGCATTCAAACAAATACTAGCATGCTGCTCCTGTAGAAATATGTGTGTGCTCCCTCAGTCCATTTACTTGTGGTTTTCTAAGGCAGTAGGCCATCCTAAAAAAAAACAAGCCAACAAACAAAAAACCCCAGGCATTTTAAATCTTTATGTGTGCATTTTAAAATTTTTCGTTATTGTCAGAACATTGTGGAGATTTTTATGTTTGAGGAAGGGGAAATGACATGATGTTTTAAAAGAACTTGCATTCATTTACTGCATTCTTTGGTTCTATGAAGTAATCTTTTCATGGCTTGCTTTGTGACTTTTTGAAATGCCTGCTCTGCATATCTTGTTTAGATGGCCAAGGCCTCTACCTCAGTAGCCTGATTTTGTTGCTGGGACCTCTGTACCTGAAGCCTTACAGTGGTAGGATCAACATGCCTAAGGTTGTTCTCCATCCTTTATTTAGAGAAAACCTGAAAGTTGGGCATCCAGTCTATGATGAGCATGCTGCATGCCCTCAGTGGTCCTTTGAGAGAGAGATGAGTCTCTCTGTGTTTTGAACATCCATCTGGACAGGAGGAATTTCCCCATCTTCCTCCTATAGGCACCTTTGTCTCTCTGTTGATGGAAGAAGCAGCTGAGCTGTCTAGGGAGATGAGTCTGGCCGCTGGGGTCTGGAAGATCACTCTCCCTGGTCTGTAGGCAGAAGCATGCCTTTGTTTCTCAGTGCTGAGCATCTTCCTTGGTTTGTTGCTGGATGAGCATCTGGTCTGTCCTCACCAGAACTCCTGCCTTGTCCAGGAGCTTGTCCAAATAGTGGTACAAACCTGCGCTCTGAAAATCAGACCCCTTAAAGATGCTCCAGTAATGAATTGGAAGTGATGAAACTGGATTTATTTTCTTAATGATTCGGTTATCTGCAAGCTGGAGAGACTTGACAGCATGTTGTCTCTCCCCAGTAGGTTCTCCTCAGAGAAGATGTAAAAGCTCAGATTTGAAACACTTTGATATCACGCTTTTGCTTGCTAAAGCAGGTTTTGCTGTCATGCATCTTTCAAGCCCTGGCCTCTGCTGAATATTTGAGAACAAATATCTTGTCATGTGCAAGTTGTCTCTTTCCTTTCGGGTTGCACTTTCTCGTTCCTCTGCAAGGATCCCTGTTCCTGTCCATCGCCCTGTGAGTGAGAAATGCGGAGAAGGTGCTTGAGAATTGCTGCACTTGGCAAAGTGTGGAACTGACTTTCAGTTCATTTCCCCTGATTGTACTGAGATCTATGAGTAACCATGATCAGCTGAAATAGCTTATTTTTCTTAATCACTGAAAATTAATATCCTGTCTCATCCTGCAAGTCTCTGATCTGTCTTTCTGACATGTAGGTGGTATCGGTGTCCCCTGCCAATAAGTTGAATGAATTTCACGTCCCGTGTACGTAGTATATCTTGTCACTGGAAATGGAAGACCCTCTCAAGAGGAAAATAATGAGGGGGGAAGGAGTTTATTATTTTAATCTTTGGTTGCTTTCTCTTAAAAGACACATATTAATATTTTGGCAATTCAGAAGCGTAAATGAAATACTACTTTTAAGTTATTTATAACTTACATCTCTTCCCCATGAGTGTTAGATTAATAAGCCTTTCTGACTCTTTACCTTGGGGGCTCTGTAAGTCTTCCAATTAGCTATTAACTGTCTGATAAAAGATTGCAATATTTTATATTATTACTTTGATTTATGATTTACTAATCTGCTTCTCTCTTTTTTTCAGATGAATATATCCCCAGTAGCTCTTGCTCGTATTTATGAAGAAGACTTTAAACAAGATATGGCTGCCTTAAAGGTACAGATACTCAAGCTTCTAAATTTAAGAGTATTTTAAAACAATTATTTTGGTAAGGAATCTGCTTTTGACAGTTTGATCTGAAAAAATAAATTGATTGCTTGTGTGATGAAGTGTTGCTTGGAAACTGAGTACTGATTTACTTTTTCATTCTTCTGGAAAGATATTGCACACCTTTTGAGTAAGGAAATGGGGGGAGAAGCAAACCCTAGTTTTGGAATGAACAAGTTAAATTTCTTTAGGAATACAAACTTTTTCACCATGCAATAGAGCCTTGGTTCACAGATAATACCTATTTACTATAATGCTGAAATAGCCTGATCTAAAGCATAGGAAATATGAAGTATTCTTTCATTGACTTCAGGTGACTTTGCTTCTTGTCCAAAATGCTTGTGAGAAGCGGGGAGTAAGCCACTGGGAAAAAGTAGTGCTTTTTTTTTTTGCCACCCCTCAATTTATTTTTTTTTTGTGTATTATCTTAAATACTGCTTATGACCTTTTTATGATACTTGAAACTTTTTTTTTTTGAAAGATAAAATTGAGGAGAATGTTCTTCGAAGTTTGTTTCTTAGAGTGAAGGGACTTGTCAGCAGTGTGTTTCATACAAGCTAATGAGATGTTACTCTTTGTTTAAGGTTCTTCCTCCTACAGTATATATGAGAGTGACTGACAATATTCCTCAGATAATTTCCTTTATAAAAACAATAATTGCTAGTGGACAAGCTTACGCAACCTCGCAAGGTAAGACTTACAGCAAGGTAACTCCTTTTTCAGCACATGTACAGGAAATCAGCGCTCTTGGTAATCCTGTTTTGGGATCAGATAAGATACCCTGTGCCAGACTTTCCTTCTGTTGATTAACAGACAGGGTGTGAGCAACTTGTTTGTGATGACATGAGCGGGCAGAACAACTATTGCACAACTTCTAAGTTAAATGTAGCTCATTACTTAATATAATTATTTACTGTAATGACCTGCTATCTAAGGTCCTGTGGAGAAGTCCTGTGGCCTGGCTTCTACAGAGAGCTGGGGGAACTTCTTAGCTCTAAACAGGAGGTGGGTATCTCCTATGTGCTGTAAAAGACGTGCCTGCAAAGCACAAGGTGTGGATTTTTTTTTTTTATTTTAGCAGAGCGGGTGGTTGTAGAAGGATTTGAGTGCATTGTAACTGGAGTAGCAGTAGGCTGTGCTGCAGTCAGGGAGGGGATTGCTGATTGTGCAGGGGCAGGGAAGAACCTGGGGAGATCTCCAGAATACAAAGTTATCCTATGTGCAGAATGAGCACATGCAGTGAGGTTACTGAAAAGCTGGTAACATGGAAACATCTGCTACTACTTCTGCAGTATTTCTGAATTTCTAAATCAGAATTTAAAATGGGAGTTGAAGGGCATTTTGTTTTGTTTTGCTTTCAGGGAAATGTTATCTCCTCATCATGAATGTGCCTCATCTTTGCTGTAAAACTAAACATTTCTTTTCTATTAGGCAATGTTTATTTTGATGTTAAGTCTTGGGGAAAAAGATACGGAGTATTAACTACTATTTATCCTGATACCCAAGATGAAGCAGGTAAGTTCATGGCACCAGCTTGTTTGTATTAATGCACTGTTTGAACTCATGATGTATCTATGCGTAACCTTTCATTCAACAGTCTGAAACTGTTTTCTAACCTGTTGTGTATAGCCAACTTTTTGGTTCTTTAAGACCACTGTTTTCATAATTATTTATTGAGGCACTCACTGTTGCTAGTGCAAGAGGAAACTCGGTGGTCTCTTTTCATACTTAATCAGTTTTATTTAAATACTTGGGAGTGATACATACAAACTTCATAGTGAGGTGGTGGTCTCAGCTGTTGTGCTAGCCAGCAGTGAGATAGTCAAGAGTAAATGTAGGGAAACTTCATCTGCCATGTTATTGTTGGGGCAGTTGTGCTCCTCTGATGCATGCTAACTGGATGAATTTGCTTCTTTTGTTACTTACCACCAGACTACTGCTAAGCAGCCTACTTGTGTGAGGGTGAGCAATCTCTTGATAGGCTGTGTTAGAGCATGCCTATACCCTGGGCTGCATGTTTTTTGCTGCAGTTGTCTGGCTGCTGAGCAGGTTTGCTGAGCCTCTTTGTAGTTTCTGTAAGCTGAGTCTGATCAGGTCTCTGCATTGGAGAATTTGATGCAGGTCTCCTGCATCCTTTTGCATGCTGAAGTTCAATATTTCTTCATTGAAAAAAATCTGTTTGCGATTACTGAAAATGCCTGGCAGGCTGATGCTCAGGTGAATTGCAGCCAGAAGCTTCTCACAGCTCCACTCTGGAGCTGTTTCAGCATTACAACTCACAGAGGGAATGCGTTTTGTCAACGGTTATTTAGAGGCAGTTACTGACTGCAAAGGCAGCCAACAGCCTCCTGGGCTGCACTGTGAAGAGCATTGCCAGCAGGTCAAGGGAGGTGATCCTTCTTCACTGCTCGGCACTGGTGAGACATGCTTGGAGTGCTGGGTCCAGTACTGGGCTCCCCAGTGCAAGAGAGATGCGGACATACTGGAGACAGCCCAGCAAAGGGCCACAAATACAGTGCAGATACTGGAGCATCTTTCGTATGAGGAAAGGCTGAGAGAGCTGGAACTGCTCAGCCTGGAGAAGAGAAGGCTCAGGGGCATCTTACCCGTGTGTACAAATACCTGATGGGGGGAGTGAAGAAGGCGGAGCCAGGCTCTTCTCAGTGGTGCTTGGTGACAGGGCAAGAGGCAATGGGCACAACCTGAACCACAGAAATTCCATTTAAACCTAATAAAAAACTTTTTTTTTTTTTTTTCCTACTCTGAGGATGGTTAACACAAGAACATGTTGCCCAGAGAGGCTGTGGAGTCTCCATCCTTGGAGATATTCAAAACCCAACTGGATGGTGCCTTCCAGCCTCAACCGTGACTGACTGTGTTTTACCCTGTTTCCCCTCAAGTCACTTACAACTAAATTTACTGTTATTTCTCCAGATTTTGACTGTTGTTTTGCTTATAACTGAGAAGGTGAAGAGTGCTTTTTTTATAGCAGTGTACTCAAAAAAAGGCAAAAGAGGGATGGAGACAACAGATGCTGGCCAGCCAGAGCTTGGCAAACTAGTGAAAGAGCCAAGATGAAGATTCAGTGGCTAAAACTAGGGTTGTATTTCTATCCCTTTATTTCTTATCAATTTTGAATTATGAAGTAGGTGTAATGGATTTTTGTAATGTGCTTCCCTTAATACTGCATTATGTTCCGAATAAAACCTGACTCTGTGTAATATCAATAAAGGACAAACGGAATGGCTCAAGAAAAATGACCATCTGAAAGATCTCCAAAAATAGCTGTGAATCATTGTTAAAATGTGTTGATACTGGAATGCTCCAGGGCTTAGTTCAGACCCAGTGATACACCATGGTTTTGTTAGCAATATGAAATAAGTAGAGGAAAGAAGTAAATCTAGCATCAGCTGCTGATAAAACAGATGAGCAGTGTTAAATAAGGGAATTTAAAATAGTGCGAGTTGCTTGCCAAGCTGGATCCCTTCAAGCCAAATAGATATATTGTTCTGCATCAGTCAAATGCAAGGTCATGTATTTGTTAGCAAAAAAACAAAAGCAACAAAAAAAACCCACAAAAAAACCCACCAAAAAAACCCCCAAACCAGAATCTAGAACTCTGTTCTGTAGCTTCTGCCAGGGAGTGGTGTGTATCCGACAGGGGCTTAGGAGCCAGCAGAGATGAACTGCCCTCTGCGGAACTGTGGCAAAAAGGACTACATCCTTGGCTGTGTAGTGAAGGAAGCAACAAATATAGCTGGAAGCCATAGGTGAAAATCGTGAAACTACTGGATGGTTGCTACTGTCCAAGAACAGTTTTGTTTTGATTCTCATCTCTGTGCTCTTCTTGGTTTTATAGAATATGAACCAGAAAGTATTTGTGTCCTAGGGAAAAAAATTGTGGGGTTTTTGGTTTTTTTTTTTTTTTTTTTTTTTTTTTGTGGGTTTTGGTTTGGGTTGTTTTTGTTACCTTTTCTGCTGCGGTACAATCTGTTTGTCCTGGGAAACTGGCTGATAAGTAACTAAATGAATGATGTAAAACCAGAGAAGGCCAAAAGGACTAAGAGGATAGGATGTATTAAAGAATCTTGAATCCATCTTTTTAGCCTGCAGAAATCTAACTGAACTTATTTTTTTCAAACCCTTGATTGAGAAACTGGAAGCCCTGTATAAGGGGGAAGGGAGGAAAGTTGCAGGAAAAGAAGCTGAGCGAAAGAGATTAAAATCTGAGTAGTTCACTAAACACACATTTCTACTTTAATTTGCTCTTTTTTTTCTTTCTTTCTTTGAGACATATCCCATTAATAAATCACTTATTCTTGGCAGTTGATACTGATAAACGACATGGTAAAGATTTTGCCCTGTGGAAGGCTGCCAAACCTCAAGAGCTATCTTGGACTTCTCCCTGGGGAAAAGGAAGACCTGGATGGCACATTGAGTGTTCCACAATATCAAGGTCAGATTTCTTGGATTTTAAAGGTAGTGCTGCTGGTTTTTGCTTTCAGTCACAGTACAAGGGTAGCAGCAGTATTGAAAGTGTTCGTACTGATCAGTAGAAAGTACCAGTTTTAGTGTGAATACTTTGTGCAATTTGGGATGTCAGATGTGGCCTGAGCAAACTCTGCTCCACCTTAATGGCGTAGCTGTCTTGCTATGTTTTGGCACCTTCTCTTGAAACAGACTTGGGTATTTAAAATAGGCCATGCAGGATCACACAGTTGATTAGCAAGTCTTCTAACCTGAACTGAGTAACCAAAGTTTTAGTGAAAGTTATGGTACTGCTTTCATTTTCCCCCCTTCCTTCCACTTCTTGCAGTCTCCATCGGACCTGGTCCAGCATGTAGTGCTGTGTCAGGACGGCAGGGTGTGGGATTCCATCCTGACTCCGGCGGGCGTATGTGATCTTGCTGGCCTTACCTTAACAGCAGTTGTGGATGTTCATGCTAATCGTCTAAGTGTTATTCAGCTTTCTTTAAAAGTCAGCCACAGTATTAAATATTGATTTCTCTGTGGCAGTATATTCTGTGGGCATGATGTGAATTGTGCATAGTAGTGTTTTGCGTGTAGTTGGTTTAAATTAATTTGCTCTTGGAGTTTTATTTTCTCCACAGGATGGTAGTACTTTGTCCTGCACTGTATTAACTTATGACCTATTAATTTGTATTTTTAAAAAAGAGACTTAAATCTTCTCTTCTGGAAGATTGATAGTGGTACTTAGTTTTGCATTAGTCTCAGATCTTTTTTTTGGAAGCTAATAACAAATTATTTAGATCTGGCCCTGTTTAACTTAAGTCTTCAACCCAAGCTGAAAGTAGGTGGAACAGGTGCTTTAGGTTTCTCTTTCATAGGCTTTGCTGGTGCACCTGGGGTTGTTAGTCATTACTACCTGATTGCGGAAAGCATTTATAAGGGTGATTTTCTGTCTGTAAATAGTTTCAGCACTGTGAAACATTCTTAAAGCAACTGAAGTGCACAAAAACGTGCTGTATTTGAAATGCAACCTGTGACAGAAGTGCACAGGTAAGAAATGCCAATTACAAAATGGCCTATCTGCTAATGCAGTGCTTTTTGTAGTCTGCATTTCTTTCTGTAAAAACTTATTTTACTGTGGCTGGCTGGATGAAGCTCCTGCCATGCAAATAAAAGTTCACCCAAGCAGAGCAGAAGTGTAGTAATCTTGGACTGTGAAAAACAGAGAGCTTATTTTCTTAAGTTAATAAAACGTTTTGCTGTCCCAGTCAGCTGTCCAAGGCCCATTTTAAATAATATCTGCTTACCTGTCTGTTTGCCAAAGGTCTCAAAGTATTAATATCTAGCCAGCTACCAGGAGCAACTTGTTAACATGACATACGGGAAGACTGTGTGTCTGCATGTACAGAGACATGCACACAAGTGTGGGGCTTGCCTTTTATTTTCTGCTTGTGTAGACCTTGCGTCTTCCCCAGCTTGAGTGTCCCTGTTTTCTGGGCAGTTAGCGTTGATTTACCTCCCTGTGAGTAGGTAAGTGTTGCCTTTGTTTAACAGATGGGCAAAATGAAGTTATTAACTTGCCCAGCGTGACCTAGCAGGGACTTGCTGGAGCAGCAGGCAGAGTGTAGCACCCTTGACTCTCGGTGTTTAACCAGAAAGTGTCTGGGTCTGTCCTGTTGCCACACAAATACCTCACTTCCAGCCACCAGTATTTGCAGAGGGACCTGTGCCAGGCAAGCCTGCAGGGGACCCGCACAGATACAGCCGTGCTGTTGGGATGAGAGGAATGGCCTCGGGAAATCAGAGGCACTGACACTTTGTTTTGCCATTATAACAATCTAGGACTAAGCATTTTCTATCATGACTGTGTACAGTATTGCCTGAATTCTTACAGAAAAGGTACAAGATAAAGAATAGTAATACCAAATTTACAGAAATGTTCATCACTTTGAAGTTGTTAGGCTTGCAGATGAAGGCAGCTGTCTGATGCTGAAACTGTACCAGAACAAGGAAAGGAGATGTCCTGCTTACAATTCTTTAATCTAAGTTAGAAAAATAATTCCTCCTACTAAGGATAATTAATTGTGGGCAAATATGGGTCCTGACCATACAAGTTTTCCTGCAGTTTTGGTATACAAGATCTGCGTAAAGTCTTGTTTTGAAACTGCAATCATTAAATTGTACACTTACATTTCTGATGTTTCATCTTATTCTTTTCTGCATTTCTTTTACAAAAAGCTTTTGTAGTGTTCTACTTATTGATCAGGAAAATATTGTTACAGTGCAGTGTTTGGAAAGCAGCTGGACATCCATACTGGTGGAATAGATCTTGCATTTCCTCATCATGAAAATGAAATCGCACAGTGCGAGGTATATCATCAGTGTGAGCAATGGGGGAATTACTTTTTGCATTCTGGTAAGTAAAATATGAATCACGTGAGAGGCCTGTACAAATATAAGGGTTTGGGTTTTTAGGTTTGGCGTCTGTATGGTATGAAAATAGATGCTCTACTACAGTGACCAGGTTCCTGTCCTCACTGAGTGAAGAAACATAAATGAGAGTGAATTTTGAAACTGTAGAATGAATGCATTTATTAATAAAGCAGTTGCAGTGAAATGTTCCTGAATTTTGTCTGGGGAAATCTCCAAATAACAACAGTATATTCATTGCTCGTGTACGGTGTTTACTCCTAACTAAAAATATGTAGAGTTTTTCCTGTAGAATCTTACTCCCTTTCATTTGAGTTTCCTCAAAATTTGAGGGTACTTTTTATGATAAGCTTTCTTTTGTAATTGTATTTTGGCTGTAACAGTCCTGCAGGAAGAAGGTGAAAATAGTTGCTTTTCTATATGTGTTTATGTAGTCCTCCTAAACCCAGAAATTCCTGCTCTCTTAGAACCAGAACCTGCGGTATCTGAAGGCAGGGAGTGGAGGTGACAGGTGGCCAGGTAGTTGATTCTAATGTTTTGAAAGCATTGAGAGTAGAATAAACCAGGCTTGTTCTCTGATGTCTCAGCACCAGTTGCTTGTGGGCTTAAAAAAAGTTTTCAGTAGCATGCACAATCAAATAGCCTGCGTTCATAAATACAGTGAAAGGCTTTTAATCATGATAAGGCAAGACATCTGTACTACTGGAAAATAAGATTGGAGAGAATGCTAATATACATGAACTGATGAACCAACAAAGCTCACAAAGTTGTGATCCTGCAGAGAAATGTCTGAGCTGGGATTTTTTGTATGGTTTGAAATGTGGGGAAGCCTGGCAGGCAGACGCTCTGCTGCAGGAACCATTGCTGAATGTCCCATGTGTACAACTTGCATACCTGTAACTATTTAAATTCTCTTGGGAAGATTTTTTTTATCCACCAGTAGCATTACACCTAGTGATGGGTATGGGAAACAAGATTCATGCTGAACACCGAGTCAGATGCTTTGGTCTACTCTGGTCAGGCATGGTCAATGAGATTGCTGGTGGGTAGGGACAAGGAGGTCTGTGACATCTATGGACTGCATAAAGACCAGGTCTCTCGCCCCTCAGCTCTGTAGAGAAGTGGAGACATTGAGTCGTGTCGCTCTAGTGCTCTGACCAACTTCAGTGTCTCTCTGCTTTCCTATGGAGCGTGAGTGACTTGATATTGGTGTAGCCTGTAGATGTCACAGACCTTATCTCTTCCCCCAGAAGTGACCTCACTGGCTATGCCTGACCAAACTGTACCAAAGTATCTTTTACTCGCTTGGTCTTCTGCATGCGATACTGCCCAGCGTTATGTAGAACTGCTCCTTGCTGCCTTTGCACGACAGTGCTTCAGTGAAGTTTGTGCTGTACAGTGCTTTTTTAACTACATCGTTGTCTGATGGTACTAGCACTGTTCCCATTGATTGAAACCTTGAAATTTGTTCTTCCTATTGCAGTCATGGTTGTTCTGGATGGTCAATTGAAGTCAATAGAAAGTCAGGTTCAAGTCTGCAGTCTCTCTTTTTGCTGAACAGTATTTTGTGCAAGATGTCTCAGTGAACTCTTTGAGCTGCTTCTCTAAGAGCTGCAGAGTTAAGCCTGTGGTATGCTCTGGGAATTACTTCAGCTTTCTTTTTTTTTCTGTATTTGTACTGTATGGGATGAATATTGAATTCTAGTTTCAGTTCCTGGTGTAGAGCCTGTTGTAAATCAATAGCAATTGTTCAGAGGCTGGTGCACCCTCCAGGGTGTGCTTTGCTCCTAAGTGCTGGGGAATTCTCTGTGCTTCCACCGAGATACACTGGTTACTGCCAGGTGGAGCCTTCTCTTGAAGACCAATGAATCTGACTTTTCAAGCTTGGAATTGAAACTGTAGGGGAAATATTCTTTGAAACTAACTAAATAAAGAGGAGTCAATTTTTCTTTAAAAAAAAAAAAAAAGGAAAAAACCCTCTTGATTCCAAGGGCAATTTGTACACTGAGGTTCTCTAGGAGCTGACAGATTACATTCATTAAGTCAAAAAAATTTTGCTGGAGGATGATAGTGTGAATTATTTAGGGCAAATGAATTGGCTTCAGAAACAATTTATTCTGGTAACAGACTTCAGAATTTTAGCAGGCTCAGAATTGGAGGAGCAATCCCCATTAGAGGAAGAAAATCCCTGCACTGGGGATAAATCTTCTTACAAGGACTTTATTTTTAGACTACTTGTACTCTGGGAAGAGCGCCAAGCCAAAGTTATGAAAATCCTTGTATTTTGTGATTCTTTAATGAAATCATTCTAAGTGCTGAAAACTCTTGTGGAGGAGTATTATTTCAAATTCAGATGTTACCTGTACCTTATTAGGCAAACAATCAAACTATTTTAAGCTTGGCTGCCTAAAGTTAAGTCAATATTTAGGCACCTTTTGCAAAAGAAAAAAAAATAATAATCACACCCAGGCTCTTCCCCTTCTCTCCGGAGAAGTTTGTCTGTGGGTTTTAATTGAGTCGCAAAGAGCTGCAGGAGTCCAGTGTCTCTGACAGTCTGAATGTTCTTACTGAGGGCCCTGAGTTTAATGATGTAGCAGTGAAAATGGCCTCACCTGCTAGCAGTCAAGGACAAATACAATGAAAACGAAATCTTGGTTTGATCATAGATTTCTAATGTAGCTGATTTTGTATCCATAGATCTCTTGATTCTTTCCTACTCTCCATAGAGTGTGTTGTGCAAACTTAAATTTCCAGGTGGTGGGGGTAGGACCAGAGGTAGCCACCTTATGGTGAATCCCCGCTGCTTTGAATCATTGTCAGAAATGGCTAAGAAGTGAAACCAGATGCTTTTCACGTCCATTTACCACGGCTGAGCGTGTTGCTTTTGTATCCAGACAAGCATAATGGGAATTTTATCTGCTTGTGGAAGAGAAGGGGTTCCAGGCAAGGCTGGCAAAGCAGCGCTGTGCAGAGAGTAGCACAAAATTCAGACAGCTGCTTGGGCTGCTGAGCAAGAAATGCCACCTCTGCCACCACCTGTAAAAGCAGAAGCATGATCATACGTTGCCCTTGCAGAGCGCTCCGAGGCATTGGTAACACTGGACTGCCAAATCTGAAAGAACGCAGAGTGCTGATGTGGTATTACAGGGTAAGGAAGAATTTGTGCTTAAAAATCTGCCTCTAAGTACGATTAAGTGCTAGATTCTGCAGGTCACAAAGTGCCTGAAAATTTTGTGTTAGTTGTGGGTGCTGGGTAACTTACAGGATTACTCTTTTGTTAGGAGAAGCCAATTAAGGCTTTTGAAATGATGCTGAGTAGTCTCATTGGCTGCGTGCTTGGCATCTCTCTGCTGCTGTGAATAATTGATGTTTTCCATCAGTGGCGGTGCTGTGGGTAGCACGGACGAGGCCTGGGAGCATACGGCCTGAGGTTGCCCATCTCCTGTCTTGCTTCGACAGAACTTTCAGTCCCGAAGCCAAGCTCTACATACCCTCCTAAATGTGATGGAGATAGTTACTGCCTTCTTCCTGTACTACAGCCCTGCAAACCAATGGCCCGTGTGGCTATTGAAAGCTCTAGCAATGCTCAGAGATTGCATTTTAAAATAAGCTAATTCAAATTAGGCATCATAGCTACATCCCTCCCTCTCCCTTCTTTTTCTCAGTCTCCCAAAGCCTGGAGAAATAGGGAATGTGCAGAAAATTAATTTTATACATAAGGTATTTTGAACCAGCGCAATAAACTTTTGGATTAAAAAAAATAGTGTAACAGCCACCAGCAAGTAATAAATACAGAAAATTGTTTTGAGTTTCAAGAATATTGTAATGTGAGATCACTGGAAGATCTTTAAAGGTGTTAAAATATTTCTGAAAAGTCAAGAGTAACAGGTAATGTGTTTTTCTGTGAAGACTGAAAAATATTTGCTTGCTTGCTTGTTTTTATCAGTTTATTATCAATTCTGAGCAGGGAGACTTTTGGGGTTTTTCCTTGTTAATGTCTCTGCTCATGATGGTGATTTTGTTTTTTTGCTGTGGGTTTTTTCTTTTTATAAAAACATTTTCTTTTTCTATGTTTTAAAATTCACTCAGTGAAAGTTGAGGATGGAGAGGTGTGCAGGACTGTAGGCAAAGCTATTGGAAAAATGTTACATGTTGCATGGAAATGGTTGGTGCGTATCCATCACAGCGTACGCAGCCTCCAGCGTCTCAGTGCAGTCTTTCTCATTCACTTTCTGTTCAAAAGCATGCTCATTTATCCTAATTTTTATTTTTTGTTCTAGGGCATTTGCATGTTAAAGGAAGTCAGGAAAAAATGTCCAAGTCATTAAAAAACTTCATAACAATTAAGGTAATCTATTTCTGTGAATTGAAGCAATGTATGTTTGTAATACGTTAATCACAGCCCTCTTTTGAGAAGACTTTGGAGCGTGTGCTTACGCTGCAGCAAAAGACCTGAAGTGGAGTGTTTCTCTAGTGCTGTATTTGTTATTGTGGACCTGGATGTGGGAAACCTGCTTGGAATCAGGGTTTGCTTATAATGTGGATCTTGCTGAGCTGAGGGCATTTGTAGGAGCAGCGTTTGTGCCCAATACCAGACTTCTGCATTATAGGTTTACGGTTGGACTTGATGACCTCAGGGGTCTTTTCCAACCTAAGTGATTCTGTTCTGTAGTGATGGGTTCTCATCTGACTGCTCTTAATAGTGCATATGCTTTTGGGACTTAGAAAAGAGCAGACGTTTTTCCTTGTTCTGCTTTAGGTAAAATGGGACATAGTGTCAGCATTTTCTCAGGAAGCTATTGGGTGTCCTGCAACCGCACTATGCCAGCAGTCTCTTGTATACGCCTTTATTTTTATACGGTGACCTTGCTGATGCACAGAGAGCTTTTGTCTTTTGGTACTCACAAGCCACGTGAATATGTCCTGTTTTACTGTGTCTCAGAGTTTTTGGTGTAGCCCAGAGCCGGGTTTCTCTGCCAGGCGTGGGTGCTACAGCTGTGCTCGGCACTGGGGTGGCTCCCATGATGGTTGACACCTATTGCTAGGAGTGGGTAGTTTCCTTCCTTTAGACAAAGCTTGAGAAGCTGTTTCAGCACATATGTTCCCCTTTGCCCTCTCAGAAGACTTAATTGAAATCCCTTTAAAAAAGGAGTTCAGTATGAGCTGCTTTATTCTTAATTCTCCTGATGCTGTCTGGGTACAGTTAAGCCCTGTCTCCCCCAGGAAAATTACCCGTCGCTCACAGTTTTCACAGAAATTTCCTGAGTCTCAGCAGACGTTGTGGACGTGGTGGAGAAATGACCACGAACACAATGTGTGCAGTTAAAAATAACGTACAGAAATGTTCCCCTCCACGGCTGTGGTGGGACTTCTTTGCGTTGAGAAAACAAAAACTTCAGGCCTGTCTCTCTTCCCTTGTGGGTCTCCACTTTTAATTTATGCCCTTAGACACGGCTGACAAGTATTAATCCTTCCTTGTAAGCAGTTTTCAGTCCAGTGAAACAAATTTCTTCCTGTACAGCCTTCCTGCATCTTGAAAGTTAAGCCCTACGTGGAAGTTTTTGTGCCCACTCCGAAAGAGGGGAGGCTCGTCTGGGACCTTCCCTGTGGCTGCCTGCATTCCAGGCTGTCACCCTGGCACGGCCGCCCTGCATCCTCCACATCCAGCTGCCCTGTTTTCCCTCCCCCTTGTCCCCTTCTCCAACTTTTTTTTTTTTTTTTTTTTAAATAGCAATTAATTCTGACCACCAAAATCAAGCATGTTGTGGTAACACACGGCTGAGCAACCTGCTTTGAAAGATCTGTGATACTTTCTCTGTACTCTGTTTTTAATGAAATGCAGAATTGTTTTTTCCAGTTTGGATGGTCCTTTCCCAAATTTGAATCTATTTCTGTACTTTACTTGTATTGTTCTACTTCTCTATATTAGTGTAAAGCTGCTGGACACATTGGGTACACTCAGTTATATAAAGTTTATTTAAAACTACAACAACAAAAAGCCCCACCCGGCAAAACAAACAGTATCACTGTCTATTTCTTCGTTTAGCTTGCCCTATTTGCCTCAGTTATTTCTTATTTTCACTTGGGAGATAGCACATTGCTGACGCTTTGGTACCTTCAGTGTTCAGGCTGGTTTAGTCTGGTAGCAGAAGCTAAATTTTGAAATGTGCATCTTAAAGCAAATGAACCTTTCCATGTTTTCTCACCTGTGCTGACTTCTTATGATTTTCTATTTCAGTGGCACTTCAGTGTTACACTCTTACCATCACCAATCTGCAAATTAAAAAAACCAAACCCCAAAGCAGGAATGCAGTGTTCACAGTCAATCTGCCATAGTGTCCAGCCTTGCTGAGAGCAGAGTTGGAAGTGATTGAATGTTTTATCAGTGTACCTTCCAAGCATTTAGATAGTTCTTTATACTAGTAGTATAAATTAATTATACTAGCTGTAATAGTAATAACTTACTATGGCAAATTATTTGTAAAGCTAGATAAATATTAGCATTAAGTTAATGAGGCTTCATAATTAACACAGATAAATTCCAGCAATATTTAAAAAAAAAAGTTATTTTAGTTCACTCCCTGTTTTCCTTCATATTCTAGTCCTGCAGAAGAAGTATACTTTTATTTTCTTTTTCAAGAATCCTTCTTTTTTTCATAAAGTTTGCAAAACTCAGGAGCTGTTCTTTCCTGCAAGATTGTATCCCAATCTTAGTCTGGTAATTTCAGTCTGTTTTTTTGCAAAGGTCTTTATACAGCGTATGTTTGATCATAATTCCAAAGTACTTTTCACTGTCTATATTTGACATTGTGCGTATGTTTATATCTTATGTATATGTTTGCACATCTATCTTACATGGAATTAGATTTTTATTTAGTTTACACTTTAAATCAGTGTTATAGTTTAAAGCTTTATGCCTACTATCTTAAACTACAAAGATGGGTTATTTGTCACGTTAGTTTGTCTGAAACATGCTTTGAAACCAGTGTAAGGGGGTGGAACAACTGAAGAAATTGTTTGAAATAATGCTAAAGCTGTCTTTTTGTGGGTGCCGTTTAGGATTTCCTGAAGAAATTTTCGTCGGATCAATTCAGGATGTTTTGTCTGCGCAGCAGATACAGCTCAGGTAAGGAAAAAACCCCGTATTTGCTGAGGCATGCATGGCTTTCCCAGGCTGCTGATGCAGAGGCGCGGTGGTGGAGCGGGCTCTCCCTGCGGTGCCTGGCAGTTCCCCTCCGGTGGGTGGAAAGGTTGGCAGTGCTCTGTGGGGCTGTTCTTTGGCTCTCGTTTAGAAAAGCGTCTTCACCGAGCACGGTACAGAACCGTTTGTCTAAATACCTTCCTGAGCCGTAGTTAATTGCGACTCTCAATTAATTGCACTTTCAATTAATGAATTACCTCCATCTCTGATTTGCATCTGTTGCAGTCACTTGTATTTCAGTCACGATCAGCTGTCTCTGGAGACGTATCTAGGTAGAGCTTCACCTTATATTCCTGTAGGGTATGACAAGGGCTTGCTAATAACTTTTTATCTCCCTGCTGTGTTATCATTTTTTGTCCTGTGGAGTTACTGAGTGTTCAGGCAGTTCTGTGGCGCAGTGCAGCTCGCTTACACCAGCACTTGATAACCTAATGATCATCTTAGCCTGGCAAACGCTGCTGGTGAGGAGAGGTGCTGGAGATTTTGTCAGCTTCCCTGTCTACGCTGTGGTGTTTCTAGCAGGCAGGTGCCACTTTGAACCGGAAAAGGTTTTTGCATGGATAGTATTTTTACCAGTTTATTGGGGCCTGCCAAAAGCAGATGGTCATTCCCTAACCACTGTTGGGTCATCTGGCTTGTTGGCCATCCTGGCATGGTAAGGGGATGGTGGAGCACGGGGCAGCTCCGGCTGCGTTATTTCGGCGGGGCCTCTAGCTGCCTCGGATAAAGCACCTCTAGCAGCGTGACGAACCGGGAGAGCTGGCGTGGTTAAGGCTCTGTGGCTTTGCTAGCGTCCGTCAGCGTGCAGTGCACTGTAAGCCTTTATAGACGTGCAGTCGTTGGACTGAGAAGTCTTTTTGCTTGCTAATACCTCCAGCTGCTCGCGGGAGCCACCTCTGATCTTCCCGGTGGAGCCTCCCTCTCCTAAGGCAGCTGAAGGCATCGGGAGTGCCGTGCATCCCTGAAATATGTTGAGGCATGGGATAGTAAAGAGATTGCTGGTTATTAACTGCCAGCCTCCACCATGGTAGGAAGGGAGGAGCGGATCCAGGTGGGAGGTTTGCTGCAGAACAAGCCCTGGTTTGGAGCAGGAGAGGGGGCAGGCAGTGCGGACCCCTGCCAGCATGGGGTGAGGCGGTGGGATGGCGGCATGCCTGGCTGTTCTGGGGTGATGCCGCAGGGCAGTGGCACACCTGGCTGTTTACTCTGGGTCTCTGTCAGGAGGTGAAATACTTTGTGCACACATAAGTGTCTCCCCGGATGCCCCGGGGGCACTTGGGAGTCTTGAACAAATGTGTATTTAAAACAAAAGAAGGAAAAAAGGCTAACACCTACAGCACTATCATATATATATGTTTGTCCTGTAAACGAAAGTCGAATGGCTGGCAGTTTCTAAGTTTGGCTCAGGGCAAGGAACGGCATGGAGGGCTGCCTGCACGCCTTCTCTGCTGCATGTCAGGTGGCTGCATTTGAACCTCTGCAAGAAGGATGTGACCCTTTTTTTGCCTTACTTCTAGGTTAAACACCTTCCTGTGATAAAAACAGAGGGCTGCCTGTGCAAATATAGGTGGCTTTGATGAAAGGATACGGTGGTGGTATGTCAGAGTATAGTGCCAGTAAGCCAGTCGGCAGATAAGGATTGCTTGAGGGTCTGCTGCATTTGCCACCTCCACCTTATGAGATAGGGTGCGGTTATTCCCTGTCCCATGAAGAGCCAGAGCCAGTCCCTGCTGAGTCAGGTATTTACTATGCAGCTTGTCAGTTTGTGTCCCTGCTGTCAACTCACTTTGGTCTAAAGATAAGCTTACTGCACTCCTCATCTTGCTGTCTGCTTCCTAAGTGTTTTTACTAGAAGTGAGATCCCAAGCACCTTCTGTTTATTCCTAAGAAGGTTTTTGTAGCCTAAACTCGTTGGCAGTGCTTCCTGCCGTCCCTGCCTGTGAAGGAGAGCCTTTTGTACTTGCTAAAATCCAGGTTTGGGGGGTCGGGTGATGTAACCGTGCTCGTTGGAGCGAGCCTGTAAAAGTTCTTTGTAGGCATGCAGATGAGGGCAGCGCCTGGCAGTTGGGAATGGCTCGTGCTTGGTGCTGTGGTTTACGCAGATCTTGGGCTTGGAATGGGTCGTCTTTTGTGGTTTGGGCAAACTCAACTCCAAACCGCCCCAACCACGGAGGGGCAAGGGCTGGAGGGCTGCATGTGGGGAGGTGCATGTGTTTTGTGGGAGCGGGGGCCCCCTCCTGTGGTGGTCCGTGTTGCAGGGAGGATAAAGCTGGATGCCTTGCTCATGGGGAAGAGGAGAAAAGTCAGAGGGAAGAGGCTTTGCTGCAGTTCACCACCCTTCCATGGCGTGTCTCTGCAGGGGGTCCCTCTGCTCCATCGCCCCCTCTCCCTGCTCAGGCTGGTGGGGCAGAGCTGCTTGGGGTTAAGCTGAGCTCTGGGGGCAGTGATCCAGGTCTTTTGCTGTGGCCGGTGCCTCTGGCTGTCCCCTTCTTGGCCTGAATTACCACCTTTCAGCCTGCCTGGGGCTATTGGGAAAAGGTCTTTCCTAGGTGCCACAGGCAGCAGCATGGTGCCCACCACCACTGTGCCTGCCAGGCTGCTTCTGGGTGCAGCTTAAAAGGAGAGGTGCCGTCTCTGAAGCCCTGTGGGACCCCGTTGTGAGGCACTGCTTTTCCTCTTGCATCTCATCAGCAATGGCTTTGCTTTATGCGGTTAGGTGGAGGGGCTGCGAGCCTGCTGCAGGCAGCGGGGTTCCGTCCCCAAAACGCTCTCCTGGTCACCAGAACCGCTCCGGTAATTTTGGGAACCTGAGTGAACTGTAATATTTTGGTCCCTCTGGTCTTTAATTACTTGGTGGTGCTAATAAACATACGTTTTTTAATTCGATGATGTGGCGATGATGCCCTTGGTGGCAAAGGAGGGAAGGAGTAGTGAGTATGGTGAAGATTTATAGGGCTGGGCTTGCCTGTGCTGCGCTGCGGGTTTGCAGTGCCTGCAGGCGGTGGTTTAGGAGAGTGCCGTGAATGGGGGAAGAAGAATGGCTTTAATCAAAGCGGGCTTCATCAGGATAAACTTTCATCAAGTATTCCTTGTGGAGTTCCTGTAACCAGGGTAATCAGTTGAGTAATCTTGGTGGATATAAATGATCTCTTTCAATATCTCACTGTTTTCTAAAAGTGTACCTCAGTCTTTTTAAAAGCTGAGTAAAGCTTAATTCTTAAGACCAGTGTTAATGAGGCACTAATGCAGATTTTTAATTACAAGTGGAAAATCTGACAAATACAGGTCCAGACTTATGCCTTAGTTATACTGGAGTAAATCCTATGGAAAGTCTGTTTAAACAAACAGTTAGGCTTCTTTGGGATTTAGGCGAGTGGAACCACGATCAGATCTCGCATCTGGCTGCTTCTGCCCTCTTAGATCTGTCTCCTTGCTTAGTCTGCTGTAAAGAGGCTGTGTCTGGGCAGCGTTGGGTAATTTCACAAAGCAGTCGGCTGCAACATGTGCAGAACCGGAGGCGAGATTGTTGTGGAAACTACACGTGATGCTCAGTGCCGATGAGATTAGGAATACACTGCAAGCTGTAGTTTGGATGTACCTTAGTGCAGAGGTCAGGCATAAAACGGTGAATTGATACTGCATTGGCTACGAATGGCGCTTTGATTCAAGTCATCAGCTCTGGTGTGATACTGTGGGAAGGAATGCATTTAAACCCAGGCCTGTCCTTGGTGGACACGGCTTCCACCAAAGTAGGGTGAGCTGTCTTGTGTGAGGTCCGAGTGCTCTTCAACAGAAAATTGCGCGCTGCTGTACAAATAAAAAAATTGCCTCTTGCTGATGGCAGCCCGCAGTGAAAGTGCCAGGGGGCCGGACCAGCATCTGCGCTTCCGAGGGCTTAGGGACGGCCAGAGGAGCCTGCTTAACCCCAAGCCAGCAGAAGTGGACGCCGATAGTTCCCCGAGCGCAGTTGCCTGCCGAAGCTAGCGTCCCGCTGAGCGCAGGGAGGGTGTCCGTGTGCGTGGGTGCTGTGGCAGTGGGGGGGGTAATGTTGGCTTTCCAGTCGGTGGAAGAGAAGCACCCTAGGGTTAGGGTATAGCAGATCTCATCGTAAAGCAGACCTCTGCTTAGGGCGCAATGAATCATTTACCTGAAGGTTTTATCTTTCTTTCCAGTGACTGTAAGAGGCTTAGATCTAAGTGTGTAAGTTGGGAGTGATGATTCCCATCCCAGACATGCCCTTATGAGTTTAAGCAATTTGTATTTTCTCTAACAGTCGCCTTTGAAAATTGGTATGATTCGATACTGTGAGGGAATTGTATATCTAGTGGAGAATCTGGACTGCAAAATTTTAGGTCCATCTAGATTTTTAGATGCTGGTGAAGCAGCCCTTTACCTGTAAGTGCCTATATTCCTCCCAGAGTCGGTGGTGAGGGTTAGGTCTCTTTGGAGGTCTCCAAATACAGATCATGTCTACCTAAATTAGAATAGGAACAAAATTGGGAGTGAGATGAAAGGTATGTCTTGCCAGCTTAAATCTGGGGGGACACTTAGAAATATGTCCAGTCCAAATGCTTTTGAGTAATAACTTTACAGAGAGATTCAATAATGAAAAAAAAAAAATTAAAGTCAAGTAGCTATTGCTTCAGTCAGCTTCCAGACACTTTTTGAATCAGTCTGATACCTTTCCAGTAGGTTATACTTTGTCATATGTAACGGTTATCTTTTGTATTGATTTAAGTCACCTAGTGCGCATGAAGAACAGAGTTTTTAATTAAACATGCAATTAATTGTAAGAAAAGTTTGCTGTGGCAAATAATAACAAACTTTTCCTGGAATGACTTAACCTCAGAATATTGTTTCTATGTATGACAGACAACGTTCTCTGTATCGTAACACCCGAATAATTTTTTTTTTCTTAGCAGTAGAATTTAGTGACGACAGCATGGATGATGCAAAGCACCTTCTTCAGGCAATCTCCTCATTTATCAGAGATGCAAATGCTTATATAAAAGGACAGCTGGTATGTGACCCTGTTAGAGAAGACATACTGTGGGAAAGGTAAGTGCACCTCCTGTATCTTGAAGGTTGTGATTATGCGAGCAATAGTTTGCTGACAGGCTCAGAGGGCTGAACAGTGCAGTGTTCTGAGTTCTGTTTAAGAAGCAGGACAAGAAGGACTGAGAAGCAATCTTCCCTGCCAGCCCTCACCAAGGGCAGGGGTTTTTTTTTCCTTCTTTTTCTAGCCAGCTGTTTTCCCTTGTAGTCTGCTACACTTAGTTCACTGTATTTTTAAAATCTGTGTTATTTACCTAGTGTGCCTGTTCTAATACAGGTATCTTTGCCCCTCTTGAGTGATGTAGAAGGCAAAGCTATGACTGAAGTTGTGAGGCTACCCAGTTTGCAAGTAGAGCTCTGCATTAGCAGCTGAAGAAGAAAGAGGAGAACTGGACAGTAATACGCCTTGGGCACGTGAGCTTGTAATCAAGCTGGCTGTCACCGTGGTGTGCAGCAGAGGAGAGAAGGGGTTACTGAGAAACTGGCCAGGGGCAGAGATGTCACAGGGAAAGAATAAGTTATGGTCGTTGTGGCCCTGACAGTGATGAGGAGAATCTTCTTTGGAGTCCCTTAGGAAAACCAGATCATCTTCCCAGAGAGAGACGTGCTGTGTGTTGAATGCAGAGCTGAGAAGACGAGTGCGGTGCTCTGGAGCAGGGGTAGGAGGAGTGTCGAGCACCCCGCAGTGAAGTACGTGCGGTTCTGGGACGTAGGATCAGGGGCGAAATGCCCTGTGCTGTAGAAGTGAGAGGCGGCCGGCTTCCTTGTGGTGCGGCCACTTCGCTGCCGGAGAGCTTGCGGCTGCACCGACTAAGGCTTGCAAGGGGCACTGGAACGTGTTACAGGGGAGTGGAGATGAATTCACTAGTTGTGGTATTCGGCAAAAGCAAGTCCTTCAGCAGGAGGCTGCAGGAGACCTGTTGGTGAGAGATAAGGCTGAGACCCGTGCGGCACGTGGGGAAGTTGAAATGGATTGTCAGTGGGAGAGCACAACTTGTGTATCAGTAGATGTAAAAACAACCAAAATGAAACAGAGCTCTTAATTAGGAAAGTGGTTGATACTCAGCGGAGAGGGGGAAGCTTACAGGGAAGAGTGTTGGGAGGAGTGAGTTAGGGTAGCAGCCGTGTGATATCTGAGGGGAGGCAGGCATTCCAGGAAAAACCACTCGGAAGGAGGCAAAACAGGGTTCAGGAGAGCCCCAGAGGTGCTAGGTTAGCTTGAGGTTCCCCAGATAACCCTGCTCCCTGAGCTTTATCGTGAAACGGCATCCTTGGGTCAGTGCTTTCGAGGGCACAAGAGCGCGCTGCCAGCAGCTGTTTGCAGCTCGCCATTTATTCCTGCTGCTGTCCTTGTCCTTCTGCTCAAAGCGGGTGGCACTGGTTCTGCGGCAGCGAGCGCTGGTTGCCCGCTGGCTTTTGGTGCTGCTACACGAACGGTCCCACCAGACCTTTCCATCTGGGCCAAGACGAGTGAAGTCCCGGGGCTGGGACTGGGCTCGCCTGGGAAATGAGGAAGCGGCACCCGCTTCCGAGCCTGATCCTGCTGACAGGACTCCTGGCCGACCCCGTGTCAGGTCTCTTGCCAGGCACTGGAGTGATGCGCCTGATGTGGCTTTGGAAGAGAAGCACGCTGTTAGCATGAAAAACAGGCTGCTGGAAAAAAAAAAAAAAGAACTTAGCAAAATCTTTAACGTGCTTAATACCAACCTCATTTTCCATCTGCTTTTAAATGATTAAGGCAAGCCTTGCTCTGGTGTTGTTGGCTCCTGTGATTAACTGTGTATTTATTGAACGGATGTAGCACTTTGGATTTTGACATGCGTCAAGTTTTTCCCTTCGCAGCTGAAAGATGTATTCTCCCTGATCAGCGTAGCATCGCCCGTCATAGGACAGCTCAGAAGGAAATGACAGTGTCCTTTCGATGACTCCTTCTGGCTGAATAGCTGATGAATTCACTGTACTGCTGGCATCTTGTTTGTCTTATCTTAAACGTTACCTTTTCTTCTTGAAGGCTAGCCAACACAAAAGTAACCGTGAAGGCTGCGTTTGCAGATGACTTTGACACCTCCAGGGCTGTTGCAGCAATTATGGACCTCATTCACCATGGCAACAGACAGCTTAAGGCTGTTACTAAGGTAACCCATTAGGATACAGAGATCAGAAAATGACAGCTGTCCACTGTCCTACTGTTTAATGCAGACAGATTAGTTTATTGTTCACATAAGAAACGAGCAGAAACAAAGCTCCATAAATTGTTGACCTTAATGGTGCCCATTTGTCCTGACTGTATTGCAGGAATTGTGTACAGCTATTGTTTTGTGCTTTGTTGTGTCCAAAGGATGCTTCTTTCCTGCTGGCCTGTATTATTTATACCTAAGGTTTTTTGAAAGGCCTGAAGCCATTGTGGCATGCTGCTAATTTTAGTGCTGGTTTTCTATCCTTACTGTGCTTCTTTGCTTAATGCCCATGCACAGAAATCAACCTAAATTGGGAAATAGGGGGTGGTGATGGCTGTGGGGGCTTTGGCAGGCAGTCCCAGGTGCATGGGGCAGTCATGGTGGTGAGTTCAGCTTTGGGGACCAAGTGGCTTCTGCTATCAGCAAATTATAATTATGGCCTGACAGCATGCCTACATGAGTCTGTCTTCAGATGGCTTTTGGCAAACTGAGACCCTGTTAAGATTTCTTGATGCTGACCCAAAGGAGGTGTCTGGTAAGGACAAGACCTGCGCAGTAAACAGAGTCTGAAGCAGTTCTGGGTCCCCTTTTACCAACAGCTCCTTTTCTCAGTCAAGGCGAGCAGCTCAGCCTTGTTGCTGTGCTCCTTGGTTGCTGATGTCATCCTGTCGACCATGTTTGTGCTGTAAAAGAAATGTTGAGTACATAATAATAACTGATTTTAAGAGAGAATTAGACTGTTGGTTTAGAAATCCTGCCTCCTCCTGGTCCTGTTCTGGTGCTGGCTTTAAATTCTGTCCTTAGCCTTATCTTTACAAAATGACTCTGAGTGAATCCCTGACCCAAACCAGTTTGCAGCGGGGATCTGCAGCAGCATTACCACTCCTAAATGCAAGTAGCCTTGTTTTGCCAGTCATTGCTTGTTTCCCCTGAATTCTTCTGTCAGTCATTTTGTTGAGAATTGGGTGGGGTATTTGTGGGGCAGCTGGCTCGGATTTCTGGTTGTGGTGGTGGAGTTTTTCTGGGTGCAGCCCAGGTGTCTGAGCATTACCTTTTACTGACTGTGTGCATGGTTTTTCTCCTTAAGAACTGAGAGTAAATTCACATAAACATAACTACTCATTCCTCTCTTAACCTTCTCACCATTCTTACCTTAGTTGGCACGTTCCTGTTTCTTTCCCTCAGCGGTCTGCTTCAGCTCCTTCCAGTTCAGATCTTTTGCACATTTTAGGTTACAGCATATCTTAGGCCCTAATGGAGATGTCAGATAAAATCCAGTACCAGCTGCTAATTTGGCTGTGTACGTCATCACTCTTTTTTTTTTAGGCAAGGGTTAGTCCCTTAAATTGCTTCTCAGTCTATCATTTAATCTTGATTTTAATTTTTTTATTGTGAAATAAATATGGAGGAAAGAAATACATACATGTGTTCTTAAAAATGCTGTTCTATCGCTGCTGCTGGTGATTGCTGATGCTACCGGGGCATGACAAAATGCCATAAGCTATCTCAAAGCAGTCTTCACGTTGTTTAAATCAATATAACACTCAGAAAAGGATTCAGGTTTGTTTTTAATCATTTATTTTATAGGTGCCCTTGAAGCTGGGATTTTGTTCTTCTATTTTCTTTTCATACACAGCCCTTTCATGCCCAGAAGTGCTATTTTTAGGTCTAATTTACTGCACACATGTAATGCATGGCAGCTTCACGCATCTTTTCTCCTCGCTTGGTAATAAGCTCTTCCCCTCCCCTGTTTACTTAAATCTTTTCCCTTTGTGTTGTGAGGTGCTTTTATATCTCTGTAAAAGTTCCCGTCTGTGCACATGTTACTGGTGGAGATAGATCTATATAATTAGTAATAGTTTTCCCTTGTGGATGAGGCTACAGAGAGATGCTGAGTTCTGTAATATATATTGACTTGACAATCTCTTTTGAGTGTTTTTTAAACAGGATGCTGGATCTCCTAGAAGCTCTGTTGTGTATGGAAGCATTATTTCCTATATAGAAGGCTTTTTTAATGCCCTTGGGATGTCCTTTGGAGAAAGACAGGTACGAAACATCTCTTCTACGTGTACTAGTATACGGTAGCAGCACCAGCATTATGTTTTATAGAATGCTTTCCAAAAGCGTCAGATTTAACAAAGTTATTCATGGTTTTAGTAAACCTTTCTGCACCACTTGCAATTTCTGCCGTGATGTCTTAGGAGAGCATGTAAGCAGGTAGAACAAAGTGTGGGCTTTTTTCTTCTCAGAGGTACTCTCTTGTGACTTCTGCAGCAATTATGCTGTGGGAATGAGACAAGAAGTAGTTAGTATTGGAGGCCTTTAAGTTGGTTTTGTTACATGTCTGGCTTTTCCCCAGCTCTTCCTCTTCTTTCAGATGTTTGCACCCGAGCTGACTTTGATAGCCATGTGAATATTTACGGTTGTGACCTCCCGCACAGCAGGAGCCGGGGTCCAGCTCCTCTGCAGAAAGCCAGGCTGCGGGGAAAGGGGCTGCTCTGCCTTGAGCTGTGCTAGGGTGTGGGGGGGGCCATCATTGGAAGTACCTGACATATCCTTTAGTGCTTTGAAAGGTAGGAACAGGGAGGGGGAAAAAAAGCAGAGAGAAGCTCAAAGCAAAGTACTGCACAGGGAAGAGAGTCATAAATATGGAGGCGATATCCTGATGTACAGAAGGGGGGGCATTTAAAATGACACAAGGTGTTGGAGACTAGCAGGCTGTTCTGTGCTCCTCTCCTGTTCAAATCTGGAGCTGAATACCAAGAAGTTGAAAACTTTCTTCACAGAAACTGTTCTGCAAAAATTTCTTTTGGGGAAAAGGAGAAGAGAATGAGAAAATATAAATAACATTATTCATCCTTTGGAAGTCAGGCAGTATAGTGATAAATGCATTTATTTACTTTGCCTCTTTGTGGATTTTTCCACAAAATTTCTTTCAAAACAGCGGTTGGATGTGATTTGGCTGTGTGTTAACTCCTCATAACCTGTGTTTTGTTGTGTTATGTGTTTAGCATGCCACTAAAAATTATTTGTCTGTAAGTTGGATGGCAAAGGCATTCCTCCAGATTCTGGGCTGTCTGTATGCAGGTGCTTGCTGCACCTATGTTTTTGCTGAAACAAGTGTCTGAATGGGTTTTTTTGCTGGTTTTTTTTTTTCCTATGCTATGCTAGTTTCTGTAGGGCAGCTGGGTCAGCAGAAGACATTGGTGCGAGGTAGGCAGGAAGGAAGGAGCAGTATGTCAGACTCTTCTCTGTCCCTCTGCTCTTTCAGCTTCCAGGAAATGAATCAATCAAAATCTTCATCAGAAAGGTCCGTGGGCTGCTGCGAGCTAGTAAATAAAGTGGTGCAGGGCTTGTTCTCAGACCTCAAGACCAGCCACAGCAGCTCAGTGTCCAACCTTTCTTGCCCCTTAGCCAGGTGGCCCCGGGCGCGCAGCTTGCCGGGAGCAGTCCCTGACCACCACAGGTCCCAGCACGTGGGCTGACTGAGAGAGGGCTGGCTGGCCTGGCTGCCGCTGTGCTGACAATTCAACCTAGAGGCTATGGGGAGCGGTGTTTGAGCCCTCTTCATTTGGATGTTTGCATATAGCCTGTGGGTCTGTCTTGCTCTTAGGATGGGATTCATCTCAGCTAATGAGCCTGACAGTCTAATGTAGCTGCCTGTACTTCTGCAGTAGTGGGTGGAAAGAGGCACCAGTAAGGGACGGTTCATCTTAGTCCGGTGGTTGTATAGAGTAAGACTGCCTCTCTCTCTCTGCATTGGCAAGAGAAGGAGCCTGCACAGCCACAGGCAGGTAAGGTGAATATGTCTGAAAAAACAATGGGTGGAAACCATTGTGCCTATTCTAGAGCTGGGGAGCAAAGGTGAGGGCTTCTGCTCTGCTGAGGAGTGCTGTATTACGGGTGCAGCCGGTGCCAAACAGGTGATCATCTCTAGGGCAGGCAAGGGCCAAATTTCTATATAAAACTTCTTATGAGCTCTTTGGATTGGTTACTACTGCAGGAAGAGAAATTGGAGGTCAGCCCTGAGCAGCTACACAGTGTTCTACATGGAAATTGGGTTGGTTTATTTCCTAAAGCTGCCCCTCTTGGAGGATCTTGCCTTGTGTCAGGTGCCTGCTTTGAGCTTTGGCAGTGGTGTTTGTAGAGGCATGTTTCTTGCTCCCCTCACCATTTCTCTTTCCTCTCCCTTCTGTATTTAAGCATTTATCCTGCTCTTTTACCTGCCTCAGGTTATGATGGAGCATTTCTGGCACTTAGATTTATTATCTTCTTCAATCTCATAAACTTCTTCTTTAGTAAGTTTACATATTTTGAAAGTTTGGGGAATTTGCTGCTTTCTGGGATTGTGGAGAGCATTGAGCATCTCACACTGTTATCTTTGATAGCTTCCCTGTCACCTCCTTCTCCTCCTCTTTGTTTGCTTCAGCCAGCGACCTCTGAAACTACTCCCTTTCATTTCCATCCTGCTGTTTGGTGTTTAAATACAGCCCCCTCTGGCTTTAATTACTCAGCTGCTCTTCTGCTCCCAGTCGAGTGTCACTGCCAGCAACTTCGCCCCCTGGCCTTCGTGTGCTTTACATTTCACTGCTCCGTTGTCTGCTCCCTCTCTTCTGTCTTAGTGATAAAATACCGCAAAGGCCTTTTCTTTTTCGTTGGAGGTTTGTCCTATTCCTCCCCCTTAGGAGTTTGCCTCTAATGAGAAACAGGGATGGCAATGAGTTCCACAGTTGGGTTATGCAGCATGTTATGTTCATGTGAGAGCCCTCTGCTCCAAGATAGATGCTTTCCTGTGTAGGAATATGCTGAACTACTTCCAAGTATGATGACACTGTAACTTTTTGTCCAGCATTAATGCGATTTGTGACCTTTTAATCATACCAATATATGGAAGATGCACAACCAAGAGAAGTGACGAGGCCTCAGTGTATGCTACTGAGTTGGGGTTGATTTTTAAATCATCCTCAGATGTTTGTAAAGCAACCTGTTTGATTTCTAGGTGGCTCTGGGAGGAGACAACTCTGCTGTGCTCTCTAACGTCATTGACGAGCTTGTAAGGTTCCGCGCGAAGGTCCGTCATTACGCGCTTGCTCTGCCAGAAGAAGCAGACGCAGTGCCGATGGAGGGTGCTGCAGCAGCCGAAGGAGCGAAACAGGAACAGAAGGAAAAGAGACAGCAGTTAATACGGGAGAGAAAACCCCTCCTGGAGGCTTGTGACAGTCTGCGTGGAGACCTTGCTGCCTTTGGAATCCACATAAAGGTAGAAGACGATGACCCTCTTTGAAATCATTAGTAATTTTTTAAGACAGTGTTTATTTTTGCCCATTGTGCCCCTTCAGCAGCTGTTGGTGTTGTGCCCTGCTCCCTGTACAACTGCTATAGCAGGAGGTTGATGTTGAGCCTTTGCCTGGTTGTCCTGCTAGCCTTCTCTTCTGCTCCCCCTTAGCCTCATGTCTCTGTGCAAGCTGTAGCTACTTCTGCAGTTACTAAGGGTGTGTTATTTAGCCATTGAAAATCCTGCAATATTCAGAAGTCTTTAAGTTGCCCAAGTTCAATCCAGAAGGAAGGGTATGAGTAATGTGTGCAATCTTTAAAAAGATTGCAGAGAAACTGGAAAGTAAACTGAGATGACTTCTGAAAGTAATGCCTTCCCTCTACCCTCCTGCATTCCACCACCAGAAATGGTAAGTCCTCACGAGAAAGCCTCTTCTGTTTTCAGCAGCTCCATTCCCAACTGTTCCTGAGCTGTAAGTACTTTGCCCAATTACTGTACCACTCCTCTCTCCACCCTGCTTTCTACTTTTAGCCTATATCTAATGCTGCCATTCTCTTCCTTTTCCATTACCGCAGTGGTCTCTCTTGCTCAAGAGAGAAATCCTTTCACTAGCTTACTTGTCTCCTGGTTTCAAGGTGCTTTAACGGGTGCTGCTTTTTCCAGTTCCTCTTGCTTCACTGCCCTTCTCGCCTCTGCTCCAGCCCTTGTTGGGTCAGTGTTGCTCCTTACATGCAGAATAATCCTCCACTTTCTCTCCAGAGTCTTTCTCTCTCCCTCCAGTTCATGCTGCTCGTTTTTCCCTCGCTTGGGAATTGAGCCCTGCATAGTCTCCTTGCATTGTTTTACCAATGGGAGGATATAAAGCACAATGACATTGGGGAGTGACAGCATACATCCTCTTTAATTGCTGAATGTGAGAGTTGTCATTTGTCAGCACACCTGTTAAGAGCAAATATTAACTGTGGTCAGCTGTCTCGCGATCTCAGATGAAAGCGAGTGTGCTGATGCTACAAACGGGGGTGAGGGCCAAAGCGCAGTGGTGGCGAGCTACAGCTGTGAAAGCAAAGGAAGGCTGTGGGAAGTTGGAACATCTGCTTCCTTAACTTGTTTGTACATAGCTAAATCCTTGCTGCACTTACTGTCAAGACAGCTTGCAAATCCAAACAACTGCACTGAGACGAAGTCTTGGAGAAGAAAACTCCCTTTTGATCTATTTGGCAAAATGGCCACAGCCCCACCTCCACCCTTCTGAAGATTTGTTTTGCTTTTCTTTAAAGGGATTTATGGACATTTAATAACCTCCTAGAAATTGGCCTTAGCTGGGACTCAGCCCATTCCATTTATTTCAGGGGTTTTATAAATAATTTGAAGTTAGTCATAATCTGTCTCCTGCCTGTCCCAGAATAGTTTGCTCCTGAAGACAAAGCGTATGTGCACGTATGAGCACACACAGCACGCATCCAAAGCTGAACTCCTGCTTTTTTTTGCTGATGCTGCGGAAGCATCCGAAGGTGCGCTGTGATGGTTGCACAGATCTCGCCTTTGCGAATCCCAGAAGAGTCCTGCGAACAGATCGATGCAGCTCAGCAGTTCCTCACACAGGCTCACCGGAGCACACGTGCGATGGGACGTGGCTCTACCCAAAGCAGGGCTCTCGCCACCCTTGTGCCCAGCACGAGGCTGCTCGGCTGGGCTGGCTGGCCGCCCTAGGCCGGCTCTTGCCAAAAATGCCACGGTAACTCGGCACCTAGCGGCTGGGTCCTGCTTGCCTAGGAAATGCTTGCAGAATTAATTTTTATTTCTCTTTTCTACCCAGCTTCTGATTTCCGTGAAACTTTTGAGTCCCACGATATGCAGGCAGTAATGTGTCCGGTAATGTGCATGCCCTCTGTCGCGTGCGGCTGAAGTCAGCAGCAACTTCTCGAGTCCATGGGCAGGAGGAAAAGCGGCAGAACAGAGGAAGCGGACCAGCCCCATCTCTGCCCAGTACAGACTAGGAACCCCTGGTCTGGGGCTGGCAGGGAGGGGTTGGCTGCTGTAGGGTGCGAGCAGCAACTTAGAGAATGCTAGTAACTTAATTCCCTTAAAAACCAGTTTTGTAGAAAGGGTAATATCTCCTTTAGGTTGTAAAGTTTTGTGATTTTCTGTGCACTGGTTTCTTCTCTGACGCTGTTCAATGCAGACAATGTTCTGTTTGTCTGAAGTTACAGAACTTGCAACAAACAGATTACAATATCCACCAGTCTTTTCATGTTGCTATAACGTGCTCCGAAGGCAAGCTGATCTGTGCTACTAAGTGAAATATAGTAATTAGGTATTTAGGCATCAAAACCAGTTTTCATTTTAATGTAAAGAAAATTCTGCATTGTATTCCAGCTTCCCTCATGAGTCAGAGCTCATCTAACATCATCATGTTTCAATGTCCAGATTAACTTTTATTTTCAACAATTGCAGTCCAATAGCTACATCTTGACAGTCAGAAATGCTTGGTTAGACTGTAATATTCTTTCAAAAATATGACAGTATTGCATTACAGATACTTACAGCAACAGGCTGCTATCCTAAAATTGAGATCACCCATGTTAGGCAATACATTCTCGTGCACTGGCCATAAGAAGGGCTGTTTTCCGTGTACATGAGCCATTTAAACATGATAATGTGATTGCCTGAATTTAACAGAAGTTACTCGTGTGAGAGAGATGACACACTCCTGCAGCATCGTACATTGAAAAGGTGACATTTGTATTGTGGGTTTTTTCCCTTCTCAACTGGGAAGAATTGTCTTGGTTTGTTTTATGACTTCTTTCAGCATTATTGGTAACAACAGCACTCCTGTGAGGTGGTAACGCCACCTCTTTTACCTAACTGGATCAAGAGCTTTGCTGGATGAGGCTTGGTTAAAATCCTGCAGATACCTCCGTGTGTATGATACCTGTGTGATCCAACTGCTGGGACTGACCCACTTCCTTCTTCTTACAGGACAGGGCTGCTGTTTCAACCTGGGAAATCGAAGAAGGAGGGCAAGTGGGGCAGCAGACCAAGAAAAAAAGCTGAAACTTCATCCCTGGACTATTTTATTTTGGCTGCTTTGGCAACAGTTGTAAATATTAATGCTTTCCAAATAAAATCTTTGGAACAGAAGGGCTAGCAAAGACATGATCTGAGCAAAACTGTTGGCACTGCTACTAGGTAAATAAACACAGGAGCATCTGAAGTACATGACGGCAGGGCAGAAGCAGCCTTGGTCTAGTCTAATGCAGGAAATGCCCCAGCCCCAGCTGCTACGTGATCTGTGCTTGTGCCCTGTTTTGCTGAGCGAGCACTGAGAATTAAAATGTAGTGAAGACTGAGGCAAGAACTTAGGCCTGTCTTCGAGGGTAAAAACACTTAAGTTTTATACCCACTGGTTTGAACAGTTGTGTTCCTCTTGGACATGGGAAGAAGTAACACTTTTAGCCTTGGCGTATTTCCTCATTGCAGTGTTCTGGGTTTGGTCCTGTGAAATCTTTAATGGTAATATGATGGTATCCAGTCATCTGTAAGGCTTGGCACCTTTTCAGTTTGCTTTTGCACAGAATACACTGAGATTTCCCTGGCACTAGGACTGCAATGTGCTCAGGACCTCTCCAACAGCATTGTGAAGAGAAAATTAGATATTTGGTTATTACCTGTTCCATTACCTCTTCTCCTTTGCTATGTTTGCATTAAAAAAAATCCCCTGGATGGTGTGGCTGCAGCAGATGCAGTGGCCTGCTGTACATGTGCAGGGACCTGTGCTCTAGTGGCTGTTACATGGGGCTTGTACTTGCCTGCTGCTGCCCATTCTTTAAATCAAATTTATGAAAAGCTAGAAATAAGAACACGGGTTCATCTTACAAGGAATTTAATTTGAAAATACAATTCACACAAGTGATCTGTTCAAAAGGATAAAGGCTTGCCTTCGTAGTGTTGAGAATAAAATGTGTAGCTGTTTTTCTGCTCAACTTCTGGTTATCAGCACCCCTAGAGAAGATGGGGGGGGGTCTTCATTAGCACTTGGGCAGATGCTTATTTGACACTGTTGGCATTTAAAATTTGCTGTATGGCTCTAGTAAACTAGAACAAATGGGAACAGTCAGCTCAGCTTCTGAGGGAAATGTGATCTGAACACACCAAACAAAGCACACACAAGTAATTTTCTATTATTTTTATTTCCTACCAAAAGAAACTGCTACATTTCCAGAATGTTTAAAAATTGTAACAATTTGTATACATTAGTGAATAACAGAGTTAGTTACAACTTCTTCGGTGTAGATTTAAAACCAACACGGCAGGTTGAAATCTGTACTGAGCTCTGTTAATTGATTGACTTCGCCTACAAATGCCATGTAATTATAATACCACTGATGTTCTAAATACAAAAAAAAATTGCTTATTTTAAACAAAATTGAGTAGCTGTTTTAAAATCAGTTTTAACTTTCTGATTTTATTTAAAAGCAGTCAGGCTTCTCAACTAGTTTTAGGGGGAAAAACAATAGTAGCTTAGTTTCCCCAAAGATGTAGACAGTTTACAAAACTGCTTAAATTAAACACCAAAACCCCATCTCTTATGAGTAGACATTGCTCTAATCTAAAAAGTCTGTGAACCCTCATAGACCAAAATGAGCAAACATTTAAAAACCTATTTTAAAAATAGGTAACTGGTTTAAGGGAGGGGGGAGGGGGGAAAAAAAAAAAAGCATTGGGGTGAGGTAGTAGTCACAGTGCATCCAGAAATCTCAACTATAAGGGCTGAAGGGAAATTCTCGGAGCAGCCTTTCTGATTCCAGGTGCTTTCTGTGGGCAGCTATCGCAAGGTACGAGAAGGCAGTTGGACTAGTATGCGTGACACCATATTCCAATCTAGAGCTAGATCACTGGAGAAAAGTGGCTGCAATGAACACAGAACATCTACTGCAATAACTAGACACCTTATATGCCTGTTCCTGCGCTTTCCTGACTATATACGCTTGGAGCTAGATGGTAGGTTTAAGGGCAGTACCCACTTAAATGTACTTTGCATGAACCTGCCCCTCTCTCCATCTTGGTTCAAGCCCTACAAGCTTTCACTGAATTCCCAAAAATTTAAGAAATGATGCTGTGCAAAATGCCACGCAACTTCCCCTTTGTACCCAGCACTCATCTGCCCTGCCAGCGAGCCAGATCGGTATGGCCCCAGCAGCACAAGTCCCGTCTGTCTTGTTAAGGATCGAGCAAAAAGCCCCTAAAGCCCGGTGCTGCGCTCCAACACCGGCCACCCTTCTTCTGTTCCTGCCTCTGACTCGCAGCGTACGGCTGGCTGCCTGCACAACACAAAGAGGGTACAGGTACGTGCTGCTGGCTGCCTCTTGTGCCTTTGATTCCTGTCCCTGCTGGTTAACAGCTACCCACCTATGCATCTGTATGCTGAGCTTCTCAAGCTCTAACTCAGCAGGCAATCTTGAGTTTTAAAAGCACTTCACACTTCCATGATCACTGAGAGTTTGACCAGCTCAGTTCAGTATCGCTAAGTTTCTTACCCCGCCTAGTACCTCTCCAAATGGTAATTTCACAAAGTTCATCATACCGAGTTCTCGATGAGTCAAGGCCAGCTAAAGGAATAGAAAAGAATTTTTTTTCAGGTAAGCATAATTACTGTTTAATGCTAAGATACCTACAGTATATCCTTATCCTCCGATGGGGGAACCTTTTAAAAAAAAAACCAAGACGCTGCAGGAAGGGGTCTCTTGTCAACATGAATGCTGCCTCTGGGACCAGGAATGGGAAAAGGCAACTAATTACATTCAAAATCTACAGCAACTCTCATGCATTCCCTTTCCAAAGAGGCTTACTTTTTGCTTCTTAATATACTAGCATGGCAAAAAAATGAAGTGCAATAGCTAATTCTAGACAGAGGGTCTAAGAATGAAAACATGACAACCTTGGTGCAATCCAAGAAATTCAGTTGAGCTGGTGGAAGAATTTTATCTAAGTATCAAGTGCATTTTTTTTTTTTTGCTCTTCACACTTTAGTTATTGCTCAATAACTATCAAAAAGAACAGAGGAATACTTTCAGTTTAGTTTTATTATATTATAACAGATCTGCAACTACAGCTTATTTCAGCCAAAACATTTTTGTATTCCAAACTCTTAAAAAATATCTACATTAATCATATTTTTCTATTCTTAAAAATAAAAAAAATCTACCTAGCATACCAATGCTGCTACAGCACTTGAAAGGGTGCATTACTTATGTAAATTCTACGGTAAATGTAATTACTCTTGCAGTCATTGTTCTTCCTTTTCTTCTTCTCTGCTGCTTTGGCTTCAGGTTTCAAAAAGTTTGTTAAAAGCTGTTCCAACTTCTGAAACCATGTCAGAGGCAGTCATTGAACGTCCGAATTTTTGAAAGGCTTGGTGGTTAGACTGCCGCGTAAGAGAGCAAGCTCCAAATGCAGCCACTAGAAAGGGATTTTGACTAAACAGAAAAAACAAAAAACAAAACCAATGTTATAAACAAAATCTGAACACTCTTGTGTAATTCATAAGGTGGTGGACATAATCTTTGTACCCATAAATGTTTGTCAGCATTGTTGGGAAGGCCTCTTAAGCAAACACCTGTGTTTCTCAGACTCTTGCATTGCAGAGCACCTTTGGCTGAGTATTTTTAACAAATACTTCCCTTCCCATGGCACAGCATGTGACAGAGCGAGAAACACCACCAGGGCCAAAGGATGCAAAAGGAAAACATGCTTGAAAAGTGGGCAAGAAGGTGTTCCGCGTCTAGTTTTAACAACGTGAAACTTCATCCTTTCCTTCAGAGGAAGACTGAAGTCTCACCTGGCAGCCTTTTAACTCCCTTTCCTCCCCACTCGCTGGGCAACTGTTTAGTTTTGTATTGCAGGGGGTGGGGGAAGGATGCGGGGATGTGGACAACAGATGATTTTTAACAGGGCCGTAGTCACTGCTCTGGGGTCTTCGTTAGGTCAGCTTAAAAGGAGCGCAGTGACAACTGCAGACCTCAACAGAAATTAAGGCACGCTCTCTGAATGCCTCCTACACGCTTATGAACTGCCTCAGAGAGCGCAGCGCACCCAGCCCCGCTCCTGAACGCCCCTGGGAGAAGGCAGCACAGCCCTGCTGCCTCCAGAACGCCTTCTCGCAGGCTGGGCCATGGGAGTCGCTTCCACTGCCTTACAGCCCCAGAGCTGGAAAAACAGAGGAAAAACAGCTGCGGAGTAATTCGGTGGCCAGCCCTGGGCTCCAGTTGCTGGCTGGTTAAAAACCTCACAAAGCTCAGCCATGGCTGGGACGTAGCTGCCTGAAGTCACTAAGGACCGACCGACTCCTGTGCCAAGCAAGGGTTTTGTGAAGGATCACGATACAAAACACAGGCAAAGCAGAACGTGAGTTTACAACTGGGTGTTGCCAGGGCAGCTTTGAGTACCTTTTCCTTGAAAACAGCAACTTCATACACTCATCAAGGTGCAGGAGTGAGTATTTAAGCCACCTTGAGAGTCCATCCTGGATGCCCAAATACTGCTCTGAAACAAGAGCTGTTGCGCAGGCATCTGGGCTCGAGACAGCCAACACACCTATTTCTAAGGTTACTGCATAACCAGTTTGATACACACCGTACTCCAAAGACATCACCTTAGCATCCTGTCTACTTAACAGGAAAATCCTACCTACTATACCATTAGCACCCCTGAAAGCCAGTGCGATCGGTGTTTCAAAATCCTGCTCTGCACAGACCTGTTTTGAAACAACAGAGCCAGGCACAAGCGTGGAAAGACTGGCTGGACTGCCTGCAGTGCAGTCTACAAGCTGATGCCCTGATTCACGGAACCCAAAAAGTTCCTGCTTTCCTGAAACGCATGCGATAAACAGGATTGGTACAGCAGGTGTTTGAGAAGGGTCACCTTAACACCACCACAGGAGACACAATGTATTGCTGATGCCAATTATACTCTCCCACTTTTCCTTCATCTATAAAATAAAAGAGTTTCTGAGCAAGCTGTTTGGAAAAGCCGCAGGACCCCAAGTCAGGAGAGCCTGGAGAACACATGCTGTGTTTGCTCATCTCTCCAACAATTTAATACTGATCTGTTGTACATCATGCAAAAATGAAGTCACCCTTTTAATAAAGGAAAACAAAATTCCTCCTTTAATGGCAGCTGCAACTTCAGATACACAAACAATCCTGGTTTCATTTTTCATTCTGGGTATGTTAGATTCCAGAATTTTAAAGTCTGGTTCAACTGGTCCCTTGGGGACCTAGTGCCGCGGTCTCACAGTAATGCAAGCACAGACTAGTCAACTCCCATGGACATCTAACTGTGTGCATCTGCATGTAGCAACCAAAAGACTACAAAAGATCTCCACCCCTCAAGCTTCAATAGCCCATTACTTATTGGGAAGAGGGACTGTTATTCCCTAACTGCTTGTGTCAGGGTTCCTTTCAACTTTATTTAAAGCAGCTACTTTCACAGAAAGACTACATGACCATATGGACCAACTAGTCAAACAGGAATTGACATAATTTAACAAAAGAGCCAACAGGCAGCTGCAGCTGCATGGCTGCTTTATGTTCGACCAAAGTGGACTGCCATTTGGCCTTAAAATGGTTACCCTCTTTGAGATTGTATTTTATTTCCAAGTTTCAACTTACCTGCCTCACTGAAATACTTCAGTACAGTGCAAGAGGATTCACCAAATTACAAAAACAGAGCTAAATGACACAGTTTTTGAATTATAGAGATGTTACTGCCAGTGACTACCACTTATTTATTCTTCATACTTTCTGCCTACATACAACTGTTTTGAAAACACATAACCCATACATATATGTCCTTGGGAATTGATCCAGGTTCACACTCTTCTTCTGCCTCAAACTTGGGAGCTGTTAGATTACTGAAGAGTTTGTCTTATTAAAATTGTAACTATTATATAGACTGCTCTAGAACACCCTTACATTTTTTAAAAGTACACGAATACCTTAGTCCCAATGACTCCAATTTCATTTGGAAATTTCTACAGCAGCTCTACAACAGTTGCCATAGGAGAACACAGACTCACAAGAATGAAAAAGTTATTAATTAATATTCATACCCATTTGTTTTTTCTGCTCCAGCAAGAAATGCCCAGTGCGCTAAGACTCCAAGAGAACCAGAAAGGAGATCCCCCTGTCCACCACATCTCCGGCTGCTTCCTTCGTGACTGCATACAAGTACTATGAACAGACAAACCAAAAACAAAGTCATGTGCATTTTTTCTTCTACTTACAATGGTATCACATAGCTGTGAGGGTTAACCTCTGAGGCACACAGCGATTAACAGCTGAGATTAATCACAGGCAGCAGCATGTGCTGAAATACACTATTCTTAAAAAAAAATAAATTGCATTAACATTTTAAAAATACTTTAATTACTTTTCAATCTTTTACAAATAACACTGCACAATGTATACACTTTCTCCACTTCACTCAGCCTGCACAGAAGATTCAGTCACTAACGAGTTTAGTGATTCACATGAATTGATGCTGCTGTGATGAGCAACTGCCCCAAACTGGACCAGGTCCCTCCACAAAGCCATTGCACAAACACAACTCTCCAGAGTCTCTGACCTTCAGAGTTTTCAAATGTAAACCAAGATGTTTTACAAAGAGCAAATGCAAAATAGAACTAAAGTCTCAAATCTTCTGCTATGCCCATCAGAAAGGTATTTTACTGAAAACAGCCTTAGGTTTTGTAAAAACCACACACAAGAGAGAACTCTTTCTGCCAAGCAACGGTGTCCTCAGCATCTGTGTAAGTTTCCGTCAGCGGTGTCACTGTGTCACTGTGGCTAGGCTCTGTCAGAATATCAGATGTTACATTTCTATTTTAAATCTACAAAGGACCTTGGTCAAACTGATCTCTTTGTGGAGCTGTAACTATGAAGAACATGCAAATGGTTTCACTAAATTTAACTCCTTTGTTCCCCAGTCTCAACAAGCCCAAGCAGGAAGCCTGAAGGATACGTAAGGCACACGAAAAGAAAACAGCATCAATTCTGCTACCCTCCTCCAAACTCTCTTGTGGGTATGTATCTACCCTTAGCTTTTCTTCTTGCTTGGCTCCAAAAAAAAAACCCAGGAAAAATTTATTTTCCTCTCCTAGGAGAACAGAAGAGCTGGCAGAATCATTGGTGGCCAAGCAGTGATCCTGAGCACCTCCAGTCAGCTACTGTGGAGCTACTCAGGTTCAGGACCATGCAACACCGTCGTTCCTGCACTCCTGAGCATGCCAAGTACACAAGCAAAGTATAAAGCAAGATATTGCTTGGACAACAGCTCTTACCTCAATTTTCTCAAGTCACCTGGGCTGGGTTTCTCCAAGGTGCACAAACAGAGCAGCCCAGGTGTTTTAGAGGGAGTACTGTCCCTATTTTAGAAGGAATTTTTCCTCTTACAAAATAATGGGGGAAAAATGCACAAAATTGAAGGACTTGCAGGAAATCTTCTTCAATAGCAAGAGGTAAAAATCTACTTAATGCAAGTAAACCCTTTGCAGTTCATTAGCATAGTTCATTTCTGCTTTTTGTTACTCGGTGCAGCAAAGAATTGTACTTCACTTCCATTTCCTACTGATTCTTCCAGCAGTAATTGCTGGGCTCCTGAGGCCAGGCAGTTGTGCGTTTTTGCTGCCACTGAGAGGGCAAAGATTCATTAGTCACCGGGAACACAGCAGACACCTCTGCAGCACTGCCAGCAGTTAATTCTCCCAATCACTCTTCTCCCCTCCCCCTTCCCCCCCCAAATTAAGATTCTGGATGTGTTTCTCAGTGAGCAGTAGTTAATGTCAAATTTCACAAGTGTAATGCTCTTCTGAGTTAGCTATTTGAAGAAGGTATGGCCTTTTAGGTGGCGTGGTTGGTTTTTTTTGTGTTGTGTTTTTTTTTTTTTTTTTTTTTTAAATACAGTGCTTTGGAGAAATCACCTCTAATTCTGCTACTTTGAAGACGGTATCTCACAGGATTTTCACTTTGAGGGCTTGAACTCCTGGCAGGAGGCAGGATGGAAATCCTCTGTTCAAAAGCTTTGGGGCCTTCTGACTGACAGCTGAGCACAAGCCCCTGCTTATTAGCTGTATGTCACCATCTGCCACTATTCTGTAGCCCCACAACCTTCTAGTCAGTTTTGAGCTGTACAGGAAAGCAAGATCTCCTCGAACTAGGCCAATTATAATATGCTGCTACAAAAAAAAAAAAAGTGGTCTTTTGTTTGTGGTTTTTTAAAAAGTAAGTCTCAAATACATGCAGACCACCTCACAGGCAACAACAAAAGCAGATCTTTGTGCTCTGCACAGAGTTGCTGGAAGACAAATGCACGCAATACCTTCAAAGAAGCAGAACTACAGGAAATTCACTTAAATGAGGGGGGAAAGGTATAATGCTCGAGCAATTCTTGTGCAGAGGCTCAGTTCCTCAAAGAACATCTCAGAATAAAAGGATGATGAACATTACAACAGGCAATGGGAAAAGGAATGAAAAACTCCTCTGAACTACAGCCACTGTTAAGAGCTTTTAAAATCAAAGAAGGAATCCCACACTACCATCAAGACAAACCGGCAGACTGCCAAATCCGCAAAGGACAAAGTCTTCCTGATGCTTTTCCCAGCCTTCTCCTAGAACAACAAAGATAAAACTGCTGTCTTCCCACTCCCCCAGTCCAACATCCCCCCCTAAATGTCTGTGACCTGCTGTGAAGACAGCTCAAGCAGTTCTTTAAGGACCACGGGGGTGACGTCCTTATACGCCGCACTGAGCAGTGACAACCGGTGGCAACGTTATAAGACATCGATTAGATGGACATGACTGAATAGTCAGCAATGATGCTGAGAAGGCGGGCAGCTCTAATCCCTGGAGAGATGCAGAACGATGTATTTACATGAGGATGAAGTGTTCTTTGGTCCATTGCTCAGTGAGGCTATACCACATTCAACTAGGGATGAACATGCACATCAGAAAGCCTAGAAAATGTGGTACTTGGAACAGCTGAAGAGACCAAGACAACTGGATGCTGGACAACAGGGAAACTGCAAAGACTGAAATCACCGCAACATGCCAATGTTGAAAGGCCACTTAAGGTCAATTAGTGTGACACCAGTCCCAATCAAAATAATGGAGAGGTTCATCTATAGTTTAACTGACAGACCTTAAGAGACAGAAACACACAACCAGTGCCGGTCAAATTGGCTCTTGGGGCAGGGTGTCTTGTTTTGGTTTTTAATAGGCCTGGGCAACCAAATCTGTTGTCATTATTTCACAGGGTGATGAATCAAAAAGACCCCACCTCAGTATAATTAATAGAAGTCTTTTAATGAAAACTGATTTTTGTTAAGTAACTTTCTGGGACAAAGCCCAGCTCCCTAGCACTTACCCATGGAGCGTACATATACTATCATAAGAAAAGGCTAGATGAAATTACAATGTCATCATTGAAGAAATCGCTCAACCAAGTATGGCAAGGAGATCTGCTAGAGTCAAAACAACCACACCCCTGTTCAAGAGTTTCAACATAATCTCAGCAATTAAACAGCACATAAATATTGCCAGAGCTGTACGCAGCTAATACAACACATCCCTTACACATAGTCACCCAGATTTCTTGCTTACCTAAGTCCATGGAAACAACTGGTACTGAAACATGAGTGCAACAGAAACAAAAAAATGAAGGCTGTCATACTGACAGAATATTGGAAAGCAGAGATCAAAGAATTTTAGGCTCCATACAACTCAAAATTCTGCTCCAGACTTCCTGAGTAACTATGGCCAAGTCATTTAGTAGCTCTAGGTTTAATGTATTTCAGGCCATAAAATAAGTTACCATCACTCCCTTTTCAGCACTCCTTGAAGGTAAGATAAACAGTAGCATTCGGGGAAGCATTCAGACCATGGTGTCACACTTAACTATACCACTGCCAGCACGTTTTAAGCTGAAAGGACTCCCACCCCAAACTGTGCTGGCAGATCAAAGCCCAGAAGAATGGCCCATTTATGGGTATTGTACGCTTAATTAAAAAAACCAGGCTGTTATGTAACTGAAAATAGCTGTCCTCTCTTTGAAGGAAAAAAAATAGAATTTAGTAGTTTTGCTGAGATCAAGCACTACTAACTGGGAAGCAGAATTTCGATATGGCTGTACACAGCCAGCCCTACTTAAAACACTTGCTCCTAAACACATTACAGTTAGAAAACCAAAGGCCTATGTAGTATAAAAAGTAATGCATGTCTGCATGTTCTTGATTCACAATGTTCACCCAGTAGCAAAAAACCCCAACCCACCCCAGGGATTAATTTTTTTATGTTTGTATTTAGAACACAGAATGTGAAATATGGGATAGCTATTTAAGGCTAAACACGTAATACTGATGATGATAAAGAAGGCTAAAGAGCCTCTGTGAAACACCACATTTACTGAGACTGCAGACCAGAAGACAGCCTGGAGATTAAAATTTAATTCTTGAATCTCGGACGTCCTGAACAAGTTCTTTGCACTTATTTTCCTCTTACAGAGCAGGAGTATTACACTTATCCTAATGTGCTCAGGAATCCATGTATGAAATGTACGACCATTCTGACTTCTGATACGATCCAACTGGACTGGATCAGCTAACGTCAGCTACCCCACAGAACAATAAATGCTCTCTTTTTAATTAAAAGGCTCAAGATTTCCATTTTCTATGCATAATAATGTAGCTATCAAGGACCATTTTGCTCCATCAAATGCAAGATTCAGGTTTAGATCATTATCAGATCTTGAATAGTATCTTCTACCAATATACATCTCTGACCTGGCAATTACTTGTACTAGTAAGAAATTTATCTTTTTCCTTTTGCAAGTTAGTTCACAAAAGCACATAGCTGGAGATTGTGGACTCCCAGAAACATGTCCCAGAGTGCACACAGACAGGGAAACCAAGATTAATGACTTTGGCTGAAGAAATCACTCAACTGATGTGGAAAATGTAAGTTGGCTTTTATATAAAGGGTGCTTATACTTTTATATTCCCTAAGCACACTTTTAAAACTTAGATAGGTCCTTGAGTGTGAGACACCAGGCAATATAAGTTAAAAGAAAATGATTCAAATTCTACATTACTTTTCTTGGATAGGTGCAGGAGCCAGGGGACAGCTGCGATGCAAGTGAGCAGTGTCTGGGAGACAGCAGGCTGGGCTGTGTGGGCAATGGAGACCACAGTGGCACCACGGACGGGAACCATCACCTCCCTGTTCTGCTCACTCTGCAGAAGCAGGAGTGGAGATGATGGTGCTGCCTCTCAGTTAAAAATCTAGGCAAAATTTGCTGGGCAGCTGGACATTGTAAGAGCTTTTAGCTGAGTCAGCCAGGGACTGACAAGGACTGAGTAGCTTCCTTTTCAGCTGTATAGGCAATGAATGGCAGAAATGAGAAGTACTGCTTGGGGGTGTATGGCAAAAGTTGGCCTTTCACCCCATATTCAGTACTCAGTAATCCCCCCTCACATGCTTTTTTGCTTCTCCTGACCATAGCTGCAGCTGGGCAACTGGAGATAAACTATGTTTGGCTACTGGCTCCAGGTAAAAGTAGTCACAGGCAGAAGCAGGCTGGTTACTCATAAAGTCTGCCTTTTGGAAGGGAGGAGAGAACAAACAAAGGTGCTGGGGAAAATACAGAAAAGCTTGTTGTAACATTTAAAAACAAAAATCCAAATCCCCTACTGCAAGGACCTAACCAAATTTTAAACATGTTAGGTACTAAGACTGGTATAACCACACTTTATAATTGACCAGTTCTCCAAAGAATAATAAAAAGAAAACCTTAGAGAGCTGTGCCATAGTGAATAAAAGCTGACTTACCTTGTACCCACAGGCTGAGTACTCATTCCTACCCTGGTCAGTGATGGCACTGATATCACCTACCAAAAGCATGGTGAAGCTCATCTTTGTAGCAGGGAATCAACAACTGTAGACCAAGCTATAATGTGAAATTGCAAAAGGAAAGAGAAAAAGAGTATATAAAACTTAATTTAAAATCTTGGTGATTACGTTTACAGGGCAGTTGGCAGCTCCTAACTGAAATGGAGACAAATTTTAGGAAAACCTCCTTTATAGTGGAGGACTGCTACTGATTTCACAGAGGCTATGTATGTGATTCAGTACTGATTTTAAGGCCATAAGGAAGCACCTGCATCACCTAATCTGATCTGTAAAAACAAACCTCAGAGGTGTCCTGACACTTCACAGTTTGGAAAGCTATCGAAGTTTTAGGTATGTTATTGTCATAGCTAATTTCTTTGTCTGTTAACAAAATCTGCCTTACTTTTAATCTGAATTTATTAAGCTTCAGCTTCCAATCAAGAGTTTATTGTGCCTGTCTGCTTAGATTACAGAGCTATCTGCTGACAGTCATCCTTCACCAACACCTGTATGTCCAGCTCACTATCAAATCATTACCTGATAATCTTTTTTGTTTTCAACTAGAAGTAAATTGTCTACTGAATTTCCTATAGACTCATGAATAAAAGTACTGTGAAAATAACCGCTACAATCACTCTAAGCTATATGCACCAAGCCAGTCTTCCCTGCTGCAAAATTCAGCATCCTCAAAAAGCCTTTCTTCCACAACAGCCAAGCACAGAACACTGAAGCTACATAGTTAAGTTTGCAATTTCTGGTCTTCCTGGAGAGCATTGAGACTTACTTGGTTTTTTTTGGTTTTGTTTTGGGTTTTTTTTTTTCAGAAAGCATGCATGCAGGATATTCCCAAAGGAGAAAGTTTGAAAGTGATATATGGAAACTACAGCTAAGCACATAAGCTCAAGCAGGAAATGCCTGAAAATAGGTACGGCTTGAGAACTACAAACGGATGATGACATGAAAAATAAAAGGCAAGAGGAATACACAGATCTTTTAATAATATTTGATTGTGCTCAGAGGACATTGGCCTGATCCAATGATCTGGATTTCCCTCACACTGGAATCATGATGTATGTTGTCTTAGCTGAAAAAAAATGACATCAGATCAAAAGAACAGACAGATGAAAAAGAAGTTAAGAGCGAAAAACCTGGGAGAGAATTCAAGGTCAGTGACATGACAACATGTTCTGTGTTGTGGCAAAGAGCAGACAGTAGAATCTCCTTTCTCAATGTAATTTTGCATTTGAGAAGCTTTTAAAAAAATGACTGAGAATAACTCCCAAACCCAAAGAACATTCTTGTTAAAGGAAGCTGAAGTCTATAGTTTCTGCAAAATTCTCAGGAACCTTCTTGCAAGCAATACAAACCCTAAAAACAGTGTTTGTAACAGACTTTATAACCTGTATTAAACCTGACAGCTGCTTTCTTACAGCTCAGCAATGCTGCCTGTAATGTCTGTAATCCAGGAGAGAAAAAGCATCAGTGATAGAACCAAGGTAAGAACAAGAAAGCAGCCTACAGCTGGACGTCAAACAACTGCTATAAAGGCACAGAACTGTTTTTATTTCAAATCAAAAAGCCACTTAACTAAGAGAAAAGAAGAATTTTAAGAGAAAAAAAAAATCAGAACACAACAGAGACAAAGAGCAAGGTGGGGAAAAAAAAAAACCAACAACGAAAAGCCCCAAAAGCACACAAGACATACACCAAACTTGTGCCACACCTGAACATTCAAAACTGAAATTGAAAGAGTTTCAGTTGTTTCCTGTTTTTTTGAATCCTGCATAACAAGAGGCAATGGAGACAGAGTGTCCCCTCTCTCCAGCAATGGTGGGGGTACACTTCTCTCAAGAGTAACAGCTCAAAAGGAGAACAGAGATATACTAGGTAATGTGCTCAATCTAAAGCGCTCACCCAGTTTTCCTGACATTCATTAAAAAAGCAACAATCCTGCATAAAAGGAACTTTGTTGACATAAAAACAGAGAAAGAAGATACACTACAGTACTCTAAAGCTCTCTAGAGATCCTGGAGCCAGGATATTTTATCCTCTGGCAGAGTTCATCCTCCCTTAAGCCTGGCCTGACTGTCCAAGGTTACAAATCAAGTCTGCTGTGGGTGCAAATATGACAGCAGACTTCATGCAGGGCAACTTGGGTGCTATATGACCAAAGTCCTTCACCACATAGGCGTAACTATATTGCTTCCAGATCCCAGCTTGCTTCACAGTCTGCTATAGTATCTGTACTAGTGGGGGTATGTGGAAGGTGGCTCTGCACAAACTAGTTGTCATATTACATCTGTTTTTCTGTTATAAAAGACTCCCATGGCTCCCAATAATGAAAAATTGACTGTATATACAAAACGGTTCTGAAGCGGCATAAACATTTATCAGAGAATAGCATTTCAAGTAATTACGAGTGGAGCTGCTGCTTGTTATGTATGCGAAATAAGACGATGTAGTCAAAATGCAACGAAGGCACTCATGAATTAATTTTATACTGATCACAGTAAACGATCAGTATAAAAAGCATCAGACACGCAGCTAATTTTATTAAGTATACATTAACCATGTTAGTAAGTGACTGTTTTAAAAAGTTGTAATGGCAATCTACAGTTAATTTTTTTTTTTTTTTAAACTGTCAGGGCTAATGTACAAGTCATATACATACATGCTAATCTACAGCCCCATGGCAGATAGTATCAAGGAACTGAGCAGCTCATGAACCTCAAGATGTCTTCATTTTTCACACACACCAATATATGGTGAAACAACAATATTATTCTGCATATTCGTAGTGACATTTGCACTTATAAAGACCATCTCGGCTAAGGATTTTAAAACAGTTCACAAAGATTAAAAAATTAATTTCTCAATACCTGCGTAATGTAAAACGTAAGTTATAGCCAATTAAATGAGAAATAAAATCAGCAACTTTTTTTCAGCAAATAAATTAAGTTGCACTCTTTTAAAAATATCAATTTACACAAATCATCTAAAAGTGATCCGCAAAGACAGCCATCCCTCCCGTTAAATCTTCAGGGGAATACAGTCAACCAATTACTATATAGTCCAACCACTGGACTACAACCGAAAGCAAACAAAACAAAACAAAATATTCACACTGCTAAAAGCAAAAGGCTTCACTTACCTTTCTCTCCATCTGAAATAAGATCTCTTTCTCCCTTTTGAACAATTGTCAAATTCCCCATGGCTTGGCTGAGTCTTAATACACATCCATGATGATCACTACTGTCTACGGGGTCTCTAAGCTACAACACAAGAATTCCATACACAGTACATATTTTACTACTAGAACAACATATTCTAACACATGCTACTTCAGCATATGTATGGGGACAAAAAAAAAAAAAGAAAAAAAAGCATCATCATCAGTCTTCCTAGATGTTTTTTTCTATACCCACTGCAGTGCCAAAAAATGCATAAGAAAGGGTCTTCTTTAAAAAAGAGCTCTGTTTAAGAATAGGCATTGTTGTGGCAATTATCCCATGAAATAAAAACCCAGAGAATGCTTGTCTTGCATATAAGAAACAGCACATAATGTTTAAGCCAGTAATAAGTTGTTTGTTTTTAAAGACTAAAAGACTAAACTTGCATGTACTTAAATATCAAAAAGGAAAACGGCTCACCATGGCTTCATACAGTCTACTAAACTCCATGTAGTTTGGAGTAAGAATAGCTCGCTGGTAGCCTTGAATAAGAGAAGGCTGCTGGGAAATGAGCCACAGTCCATCCTGAAAAAACCAGCAAGAAGAACATTTACTGAATAGATTCTTAAATGTCAAACCACTGACTGAATCAAGAAAATACTTACAGCATCAATAACGATAGGAATTCCTTTCACTTTTGATTTTTCTATAATACCCTGCAAAAAATGCAGATAACTTTAAGATGCTTGCTAATTTAAATCTCATAAGATCCAAACCAAATTCATACAATCAATCTGATGATATAAGTAGTTTTTACAAAGTAAGACAGAAAAAAATCTGTTATATTCTGCAAACTAATGTAAGATGTTTTCATATCAACTGGTAATTTTACAATTACATTGTTCTCTCCCTGGTTCAAGAATAAGCAGTGTCAACAGGGTTTCCATAACTGACTCCTTGGTGTTGATTATGCAAACAAGCAAGCAATCTCACTCGCTCTTGCTGCTGTAGGAGGCACGCAATGCCAACACAAGTCACACATAGTAAACATACAACTCCAGTTAAAAAAAAAAAAAAAAAAAAAGAAAAATCCAAATTAGTATTTCCATGATAGAAATCTACCAATAATACTAATACTAATTTTAGTTGCTTTTCTGATGATAAACTCAAATACTGCAATGGGGCTACGTATAAACAAACATCCCGAGATAAGCAGTACATAAGATGTCATTTCACTCATAGTCCTGGAGGTTTTAATACCTTCAAAGCAAAATCAAGGTGGCCGAGACACCAGACCATTTGCAAAAGTGTTTTTTCAGCAAGCAGTATCTACTAGCAGACTGACTGCCCTTGTTCTCTCTCCTAACTGAGCAGTGGCAATGACTGATACTCAAGCTTTTTTTAATGAGCAATGGCTGACAGTCAAGTTTTTTGAATGTCACTAACTCATGCTTGAAGCTGGAGTTTATCTTTTTCCTGTATAAGATAACAGAGGATGGTATCTATCCAAAAGTCTAATTATTTTTGAACATTGTTAAGCTCTTCAGATTAGCTATCATATGGCACTGAGCTCCACAGGTTAGCAAGACATTATATAAGGAATAAGGCAGTAGTTTTTAATTAATGCTCAGGGTATTGAATGCCCCTCTGTTCCTGTATTGTGGTCAAAATAAACACCGCCCACCTTGCTTCCTGTAAATTATTAGTTATGGAATATACATATCCTCACAAACTCATTCCTACCTGATTCTGATTTTTCCAATACCAGTACCAATCTTTCCCTTCTATTTTTAAATAGATGACCAGAATTTAGCAGTGTGCTTCAACCCAACACTACTTTTGTTTGTTTGGGCACTGTCTGCATGGCGGAAGCATGAGACTGAAACACTACCCACTGCTCCAAGCCTGAGGACTTGTCTCAACACACAGCTGCAGCCACATTAGAAGCTACTACAGAATAAAAACCTTTCCGTGACATACACATGCTTGCACAGGTCTCAGCTTGGGCTGTCTGTCACAGACTGCCAGGTGCCCACGCTCCTCGGGATCCCAAGGGAACACCACACATCTTCTCTTATACTCGGTTATTTAAATAATTTCGAACCAATCACAAGTTTTACACAACTCATACCACTCGGCTACTGCTAAAGTATTCAAATTTTTGAATAAGTTTATTTAACAGCTGTGCAAGGATGGAATCTTACAACATACCTAGAATGAGTTGTGGCATAATGAAAACCAGAGAGCCTTACTTTCAAAGCTTTTAAGAAATTTATGAGACAAAGTAATGCCTTTATTCATTAATGTAAATCTGCACAGATGTGCACAGCTCAGTTTTCCTTCACAGAAGCTGTACTGCTTTGCCCTTGCTGTGTTAAGTTCATTAACAATTATGTTTAATTTGACTCACTTGGTTATAATAAAATAAGGCTGTGGATCTAGCAACCAGGTTTATGGTTTGCGGTATTTTTTCTGTATAAACAAATGTTATACATCCAACAATCTGATTATTTTTGAACCATACTAAGCTCTTCCAATTAGGTTATCATTTGGCACTGAGCCCCAGAAGTTAGCAAGATATCATGTAAGAAAGCATTCACATCATCCTCCCCCAATTTTTGAAGATGCAAATACCATTTACTGGAACCTCATTTGCTAACAGGTTTCAGTTAGAGTATTTTTGAACATTAGCAGCTTTACCAAACTCCTTCAGTACACTTAAAGTGATTACTGCTCCACTTCCCACTAATATGAATCACCAGTTTATTCTAGTATGTCACCTTTAGTAAGCCAGTCTTTCATGACACTTCATTTTTTAAAACCGAAAAAGATTTCCCCAGCAGACTCCGTAAGGAAGTCTGAAGGAAGACATCAGATCTCAGAAGTCCTTATCCTTCCAAACTATTCTCTTAAATGCATTATGAGCAATCCAGGGAACTAATTTTGCCAAAGTTCTGTTCCCGATACAGTTAAGGTTTGGCTGTTGCTGTTATTGTTTGGCCCCTTGTCATGTTTCCTCATAACTGTCATCCTGACTGCTGGTTAGAACCTATCTTTTTGTCTCTATATATCTAACAACAGGCTAAATAAGGAATTCTGAAGATCCATTGTCCACCAAAAGAATGTAAGGAAAAAAAAAGGTGGAAGTTACAAAGCATGAAAGTATACGTACAGATAAATAGCTTCTGGAAGGCTGGGTCACTGCTACACTCCAGAGAAATAAGGCATTTCTTCCTAATAATGTTTTGAGTTGCTACCTCTCCAGCACGTCCTCCACAATCCTGAGACATTTGACCTCTGAAGAGAAATTTCATCTTGCCAAGTAAAACCTACTGGCCAAGCAACTTTTATTGTATACCAAGTCTCTGAGGGATCAGTTTCTAATCTAAGATACGGAGTGATCTTTGCTTTTTCTTTCTCTCCTTATAAAACAAATTATCAGGGGATACGAAGTCCTTTGTCTTATGTAGAAAGCTCATTTTTATATTTTAAAAAAGAGAAACCCAAACAAAAAACTACCCTAATTATTTTCCTTTCCTCTTCCTTCTTTAAACCCAGACAGAAAATGCTTGGAGACTGACAAGGAACCTCAAGGAGGAAGTTCTGGGGAGAAAGGGGGTAATCTGGCAACCGTAATAAAGCAGTAACAGAGATAAGAGAACCCCCTGTAAGACAACCACCCGTTTGAAGGACACAACATTAACCGTAGAACCTCTGTTTCCTATTGACTGTGGACAGGACACATCTCACCTGCTGCCATTCAAAGGCCAAACAGCTCACCACTGGAGAGCAATTCATCCCCTGCAGCTTAGACACTGCATTTGGGGTGGGATGAATCACCAACAGACATACCTGTCTCTCCCCAGGTATCACAGAGGGAGCAGAGACACTTTACTGCTTTATTTTTAGACATCAAGAATTAGGGGAGATGAAGCCCACTTTTAAACACTCTTTTACTGCAGATACTGTATATAAAACAAAACAAAACACAAAAATACTTGCGTAAGAGGTATTTACAGCAATAATGGCAACATCCTCTATGCAGAGTATTTTGTTCCTGGAAGCAAAAATCAAATTTTCAGCTGAATCTGTATCTTGACATTTGGCACGGATTTTCCTGGTTAATACTTCTAAGTATATAGAAGAACCTCCACTGCTAATTGCAGAATTATTACAGCTCAAACTAACTCTACTTTCACACCAAAACCTATTTAACCGTTTCGGATAGGACTCTATGTATGAGGAGGAGCCATCTGTTCAGTTTTATCTCATGTAACAATTATTTACATGGGAAAGGATTTAGAAGAGAACATTGCCAATTAAAAGTACTATGAAATGTTACTAAGACCAGACCTGAAATCCAAACACCAGTCTCACAAGTGAACAGCAACACATACAGGTATCAATGATAAGCCCAAGACATCAACCTTTCCCTTCAAACAGCATTTTGAATATTAAGATTTTGGAGATTCTAGCTCCAAGATATCCCAGTGGACTATCTTTCTATGCACAGAATATCTTATACTACAACAGCGGTGGTTCAGCTTGGGGCAGACCAAGGCAGGAGCACTTCCTTCACTCGATTCCTAAGCACTCGAGGACAACCAGAAATGAAGAACTGGACTCAAAGGGCAACCTGTGATCCTGCAGCCCACAAGATTTGGATGAGAGAAGGGAAACAGGTTCCAGCCCGTGATTAAAATCAGTGATGATGAACTGTACTACAAGACTACAGGACTCATGCTAGAACAAATCTGTAACAAGAGTTTCCTCTCCTGATAATTGAAGACCAAAGTATAAGTTTCTACCCCAATTAAGCCAAAGAGGAAACGATGTGGGATTCAAACATCCCATGAAGGTGCTGTATGGGACAACCTCCCACACAGTTATCATTTGTTAGCAGTACCAAATACTTGACATTTAGGAATGCCCAAAATAGTATTTCAGTGATTGCAGGTTTTGGTGGAGGAGGTTGAGGGGAGGAGAGCCAGAGGGGGTGACATTAACCTGAATCTACTCCCACTCTACTCTTGAAATACACAATTTCCTGAAAAATCTTTGTTCTCTGACTGGGTATCCAAGACTTGTATGCAAGCAACCTACTCAATAAGAACTGAAAAAGAAGTTGTGTTGCAGTAGAAACCAGTGTTCTATCTGGGTAAAAGCAACCCTTTGCTGTAATTAGAAAAATTTACAAAGTAAGGGTGAAGAATTTGTGTGTTTTAATTAATTCTTTTATTATCATGGAAACTATTCCTTGAAATGCAATGCATTCATTTGAGTAGAAATCTGTGCTCTCTGGCCCAACTTTCACATGGGAATTTTAAAATAGATTCCCCAAACCAAATTCCAGTATTTTTGGGGAAAAAAAACCCCAAACCAAAAAAAAAAACCCCAAAACAAACCAAACCACAAAACCCCCAACACGCTGAAACCAGAACAACACACACATGGAATCAGACTCATTCAGGTTGGAAAGGACCGCAGGAGGAAGAAGCTTGAAGGAACGAATGGACAGGCTACTGCTGAAAGAGGGCACAGTAATGCAGAAAAGCATGATACGATTTATCCATTTGATAGCCTGCGGCTGTGCTATGAAACACAAGACTCACCTGCACTGCACTAACACGGGCATCCAGGACCCTTGCACACTTCCACAAGTATTATGGAAAAAGGGAACAGGCCTAGATGAGCCAGTGCAAGACACTGGCTGCAA